GTGTTTTTTTTTTTTTTTTTTTTGTCTTTTGTCTTTTTCCGTGTCCGGCAACAGATTGCAACCCTCAGTGTTGCCCCCGCACCGGACCGGGGACCGGCAACGGGATTGCAACCCTCGGGGTCGCTCCTGCGCCTCGCTCAGCCAGTGAGCGGGAACCGGTCCGTATGTGGGATCCGAACCCTCGGGCGGGAGCGCCGCCGCGCTTCCCAAGCGGCGCACTATCCAGTGCGCCACCGGGCCGGCCCCTTGTGTTGTCTTTTAAGTAGCTAATACTCATGATCAGATTTTAAAAGGAATTTCACTTTTGGGCAAAGTGAAACTTTTAAAAGTGATGAGTCCCTCACCCTCTACTAGGGGACTCCGGAAGGGGCCTGGCAGCATCACTGGCATTAAACAAATGGATCTGGGAAGTGCCCGCTTCACTCCTGACAGGGTGGAAGTTGGCCCGGGGTGGCTAGATATAAAATAAGAACTTGGCTTAAGAAAATGTGTTCTCCACGTCAGTGAGGAATTACTAAGATAGCCATAAAGAAAGGGCAGGGGATTAAAAAATTGCCTGACTGCTGAAGGGAAACTGCCCGTCATCTGTTCAGCTCTGGGTCCTCAGACTTCTGAGAACCTGTCACTGCAGCAAAAGACGGCCTTCTCTTGGGCACGGCCTGAAACCTCAAGACAATGAATCAGATCAAGTCCGTAGAAAGTCCTCTTTGAAGACATTAAAAAAATAGAAAAACCAAGCAAGAGGACACACACATACACACAAAAGAAAAGGTGGTGCCACATTGGCCAAACGCCCTCGCCCTGAAGACCAGCCAGGGGGGTGAGCTGTGCAATCCTGTCCTTCCCACTGCATGTCCCCACCCCTGTCTCTTGGTGTGTGATCAGTCCCACCATGCCACCCCGAGGCCGGTCATGCCCCCTTGACCCAGGACTAAAGGTGTGCGGCGGGGAGTCCTCTCAGCACAGCTTACCTCCAGGAAGGCGTTCATTTGCTTCTGGACCCTGTTGACAAATCTCCACTGGATGACCAAGCTGCAGGAGGAAAGAGAGCAATAGTTAGCCATTGCCACCAGCGGCGCACTCGCTGCTTGCTTCACAACCGTGACTGCTGCTTCTCAGGCAGGGGACGGAGAGGAAACCCTCTGAGAGCAGAGCAGAAGGGAGGGTCTTCTGTGTGCGCTGCCGTTTATTCATGAATTCTTTCCAGACACATTGGAACATCTGTGAAAAACCTAAAATCTCACTGAGTGTGTCAAAAGAATAACTGATTTCTTCCCCCTCCCTCCCTATCAAGCCTCAGTTGATTGGAGTTGTTTTATGAATGTGATTACATGGAGAAAAGAGAAACGGCTGTGGGGTATGAATACACAGGCATACATGATATGCACATGCGTGAATATGGACATGTGTTTTTAGAGAGAACCCACTACAATATATTTTGTCATATATTTCATTCCAGTATTTGTCGTCATTTTCAACAATGACATATAAGCATCATCAGCAAAATGATTTACACTAACACCTTAATACAAAAATTTGGAAGCTGAACAGTTAAGACCTCTGAGTAACTGTAATTCACCAAAATCATTTTCTGTGTGTTTAGTGCAAAGCAGAATTTATCACAAGGTGAATTCACTCTGGATTCCACTGGAGGTATTCTGTCGTCATGAAGGGCTGTCACCTCCAAGGCAGCACCATGGCAACGGCCCCCAAGGACAGGCTTCAGTGCAACCCCGGCTCAGCCACATAGGGCCTTATTAGCTGGTGGCAACCATAGTGCGACAGCACGCTGCTGGCTCTGGGGGAGGACAGGTGGCAGGGAGCAGGTGCAGATTTCGATCAGACCTTTTCCAGTGAAGCTAGCTGAAACCCTGCCCGGCTCTGGCCCCGGCCCCCACCAAATTGAACCCTAAGAGAGTTAACCGCAAAGAACAATGCACAACACATATCACATATTCAGATTCCTCAGACTCTAGTCGCCCTGGGCTGGAGTGTTTATTGAAACCTATTCAGTCTGGACTTTTCCAGTAAAGACAAGGGTGCCTGCCAGGGTGTCATCTGCTAAGACTGTCCAAGTTCAGACCAAGTGTGTCTAATTACGTGAACGGGTAAGAACTACTGGCATCACACTTCTAGTTCCCTTTGGTGTTTCCTAATTTTATCACACTGGTCGTTGACACTATGTTCCATTGCTGGAATTCTAAATTTTAGATGAGATATCCACATACTCCAAAAGAGTATTTGCCATATTACTCAATCAAGTGTACCTTCTCTCCTTCCCCCGCATCTTCATGTGGCTTCTCACTGAGGTCATGATACAAGGCAAACTTTCCATTCCATATTCAACTTCCCATTAGCCCAAGCCAAAAGGAACTCGTAATGTTGAAAACTGACCAATAAACTCATGCCCATAACAGGGACAACAACCAAATGTGCTGTTCAATTAATTAAAAGATTGTAAATAAACACATGTATACGTACTCAATATATTCCCTTTTGTTTTCATTTGTTACCATTATTTCTGACCCATTGGGCTTCAAATCCACTTGATATGTCTGTAATTACAAAGGTAAAACAACAATCACCATCATGAAGTTATTTTGCATATTATTACTGAATAATGTCATACTATAAAAGGAAGCAAAATTTATTCAGAAAAATCCGCCAGCAAAGGGGCTCTGTACAAGAGAATGTCTAATGAGGCTTTTAAATTGTTAAGATGTTACCCATTTAAAGATATTATCATTAAAGGCAAATTATTTTGTGATTATTTATGAGTTTCAATTATTCTTCATATATCAGTCATAATAGAGAAGAGGAACATTTTTCATCTGCTATTCACTTAACAAAAAATTAATTAAGTTTAACACAGAAAAGAACAGGGTACATCCATCAAGACTACAGAGATTTAAATTCTAATACATTTTGTTACTGAAAATGAAATTTGGTAGTCATAAAAAAGGATGCATGGAATTTCTTCCAAAGAGGAAAATACAGGGGCTATTAAAAAAAAAAAAAAAAAAAAAAAAAGAAAGAATCTTAAAAAAGTCAGGCAGAAGAGATGGATTTCTCTTCCTTCCTAAGAACCGCAGACATTTGCTTACATCGGGACACTTCTCCCTGATCATCTGCCGGACAGCTCCCTCCCCGAAAGCCAGCCACACATGATCATAAAAGAACAAAGCAGCTGAAATCCAGGCATCACCCTCTCATAGGCTGTGACCCAGCCCTAGCTTAATATTATTACATATAAAGCAATAACTAGTGCAGGGAAGGGAGAGAGAGGCCTATCATTTTAAAATAAAATGTTTATTCTCATTGTAAAGATTTTGGGAAAAAAATGGTGGAAAGAAAATACCACCCCTAACTCCCTGATTGAAGGTAACTACATCAGTTCTCCTATTTCAGTGGGATTCCTTGTAGCCTTTTACTACACCCACTGGCTGTATCACAGAGTAAACCAAGCCTGGGGGATGCAGGTTTTCCAGAATGAGTGCTAGAATTCTAAGCGTTAACGAGGGACACATCTCAATTCAGTAACAAAGTCTTTGCTTTGCAGGGGTTACTTCCAGTGATTTCTTGCCACCTCTGCCACACACTCTCAAAGTACTGAGCTGTTCTGACCTGGATACTCAGATCTTGTTTATCTCCAAATGTTTTCTTTATGTACAGTAGTCCCCTGTTATCCGCGGTTTTGTTTCCTGCCACTGCAGTTACCTGTGGTCAACCATGGTTTGAAAACAAGTGAGTACAGTAAGATATTTTGAGAGAGACCACATTTTATAACTCTTACTACAGTATACTGTTATAACTGTTCTACTTGCTTATTACTGTTGTTAATCACTTACTGGTGATTAAACTTTATCACAGGTATGTATGTATAGGAAAAAAACCCAGTGTGTACACGGTTTGATACTATCTGCAGTTTCGGGCATCCAACTTAGAATGAATGAATCCCCATGGACAAGGGGGGACTACTGCCCTTATTTCTAGTCACACTGAGATGGCTTTTTCAAACACACTGATCATCAACCTAGTCCCTTTACATTTTCTTCTTTTTCCTCTTTATTGGGAAAAGGATCTCATTTTTCCACTACACAACTAAACTCCATTTTCTACAGTCAATTCAACTCCTGACTGTCCCCAACATGGATTTTCGCCCTGTTAGTGCATTTCATGTTTTCACCCAATCCTTCCTTTTGCCTCATTTCCCTTTCCTGCTGCCATCCCTCCGGCTCATCCCGTTTTCTCCAGCGGCCATCTGCTCCTGCCCTGCACACAGGCCACCCTGATGCTGGAGGACATCATGTAGTTTTCGTTTGGGGAGTGGGGTGGGGATGGTTTCTGTAGCAAAACATTTCCAGTTCTTTGCTAGTTTGTGGACAGTGTTCATCTATACCTTTTGCAGTGTTTTTAAATATGCCCCATAGTGGTTTTTCCTTTTCTACCCATTTACTCTTCCTCAAAGACTGCCTTGCTGTTCCTTCAGTAATGGGGTTTTTCTGTCAGATCCACACTAATGACAGGTTAATAAATCCAAGCCCAGTCCTTGGTACTGAGACGGATTTCAGTACAGCGCAGCTACGCTAAGATGGAATCTTTTCTCCCCCACTTTGCCCCCACAGCCCTAGGATATTCCAGGCAGGTAAAATAAATAAATATCCACAGTCTTTGCAATGCACTCCTTTTAGGATCCATCCTTCCCTCGTTCTTTGCTTACAGGGCCCCCCCTCCCAGGTGTTGCCTGGGAGCTGTCATTTCTAGAGAGCTACTGAGTGAGAGGGCCAACCACACACAAGATAGGGAGCGGAGGGGAGCGGAGGGGAAAGGAGAGTAGCACCCACCGAGGGAAAGAGAGATAAGCCAGTGCTGCCAAGTGCAGAGAAATGGTTCTCACCTACACTGCTGGTGGGAGTCTAACTGGTTCCATCTTTTTGGAAGATAATTTGGCAACAGGCATCACGACTTAAATGGGTATATCTCTTTTGATAATAATTTCTCTTCTGGAATTTATACCAAGGAAAAATAAACTAGTAAAGCAAACAAAATGTGTATTCTAGGGTTATGCAGTTTACACGTTATATATAAATATTGGAAGATTACTGAAATAACCTAAATGCTTACCAACAGAGCATGGTGAAAAACATATGGTATATCTACAAAACGGAATTCGCTATAGCCATTAAAATGGTACAGATCGATATTTACTGATATGAAAAGGTATCTGTGCTATATTAAGTTGAAAACTGTATGCACGGTACAATTCCATTTCTATAAAAATGCTTGTATGTGTGCACTTACAGAGAATAATTCTGAAAGATAGAATCAAAAAATTTTAATCATGATTTTTAAAAAATCATGATAGTAGAAATGATAGGCAACATATATAATACTGATCTTGTGTTTATTACAAAGATTAATATTTTATAATCAGATAAAATTATTTTTGAAAGGGACCATACCATCCATGCTAAATAACAGGATCATAAGAAATAAATCCACCTGAGGGCAGCTGTCCAGTTTTATGGTTGATTCTGACCACAGCGGTGAAGGGAGGGCTAGGGCTAGGGACAGGCACAAAAAGGGCTTCCAGTCCCACTCCCTAAGCCACTGTGTGGGGGTAAAACCCAGATGCTGGCAGCACATGCTTCTCAATTCAAGCTCTCAGAGGTGGTGAATTTCTATCCTTCTGGGGATCTTCACGGATGACATTTTAGTGGGAGCAATGACCCCCGCGTGAATTCCACGTTCTAAACTGGCTGCTGGGGGTTAAGTTTTAGACTGCTGCCTGTGCTCCAGGAGCAGTGGCAGGCCCACCCCAGGTAGAATCACTAACTGTCCTCACAACCAAGCTGCAGGTACCCCTATGGCATAGAGATCATCAGCCCCATGTGGGCGCAGCACTGGGGTAAGGAGCCAAGTGTTGCTTCCGCAGGTGACCCAGCTGTCCTGCTCCCTGGGAGGGCGGACGTCATCACCCTTCTTTGGGGCGGATTCCTGCCCCTCACCCATTCCCTACTTGACTGAACACACGTCTGCCCCGACACTGGCTCTCAGGCGGCATCACTGTCTCCTTGTGTCTGGACTCCTGAAGGACCCAACAGGATGAACACGGCCAACAGAGTGCCTGGCACACAGCAGGTGCTCAATAAGTACTTGCGGAAAAAGAGTAAAAAAAACACCTACAAGTAGAAAAATTCTTATTTAAGTCTAGTGGCCGAAGCATAAAAGTCTCTTCCTCATAAAGCTCAGAGGGACCTCTGAGATGTGCGACCCTCACAGAACCAGAATTTTTGCACCCCCACAACTACCTCCCTGATCCTCCAGAGACGCTTCAGGCCAAACATCTGGGGAATTAGCTGAGAAACAGCGTGGATCACACTGTGTAGACTGGACCTAGGCAGAGTCAGCTTCGTCTGCTGCTCCTCAGACCCCCGGGCGCCGAGTTGGGCCAGACAGACCCCACCCTGCACACCTCTCAGCCCCATCCCTTCCTCACCCTCCCCAGGCTCCCTCAGCAGACACTGGAGAGGCTGTACCGGCAGGACCAAGCTCCCAAGTCAACTCTAGCCTTTCCAACTGCCAATGTCCTCAGCTGCCACTGCCAATGTCATCAACTGGTCTTGAGGTTTGGGGCTTGGCCCTCCTGGGCCACCTCTGGGCTCTTGGGCTGGTTCTTCCTGGGTCTGCTGCCTCCATCCAGCGCTTCTCAACTTTTCCTTCATTATCGCTCCTTAAGGGACTTTTTGAATTCCCCCTCACCCCTGGTGACTAGCCTCCTGCCACTGGAATCCCGGCAAACAGATCCAGGCACAGCTGTGGTCTGTAAGACAACCCTTGGGATGATTTCCCCGTCCTAGAACCAATCCTCGCCCTGGGGGCGATCCCCGTTGAGTGCAGCTGTCACACGTCCTGAAGGAGTCCCTGCAGGCTGCTGCCCACTATACTCATCACCACCAGAGACTGCTTTGCTGAACTGGCAATGAAGGACTTCTGCCTGCTACAGGCCTGAGAGGGCTCGTCCTCCCAGGCACGTGCACACGTGAGAGTACCAGTGTCCGGGTGTAAGGCATGTGACAACTGTTCAAATATTGACATTTCTCCAGTGGAAACATTCCCATTAGGTCCCAGAAACCAGCAGCTCCAAATTCTCACCAACGAGAAAGAAAACAGATTGCAAAGTAATGGCAACAGCTGCAGTTTCACTGCATGAAATAACAGCTACCCCACTTCATGGTCTAATATTTCTTAAAAAATAAAAAAAAGACTCTAAACACGGCGGAAGGCCAACTGCACGTCCATTGCACCCTGTGGCAACAGCAGTGGCCCCACCCATTGAGGAAGCGACTTTATCTCTAGGTAATAGCAGGGCACAGGCTTCCTGTGGGGTGGGATCCAGTGCAGGCGCGGTTGATAGTTTTGCAGAGGGCTGCAAGAGGCAAGAGGCACGGACAGGCATCTCGTTACTGCCTGTCTTTCCTCCTCAACGCCTGTATTTTGAGTGTCTACCACGTGCCAGGCCCAGTGCTAGCAGTAGGTGTACAGTGGTGAGCAAATGGCTCGCACAGGTTGCCATCACCAACACCACGTCTGGTTGGAGATAGATGCTAAACACATTGTCAGACAGATGAATGCAAAGCCACCTGCGGTGCCTGCCACAGGGACACAAGGAAGACACTCTGAAGTACATGGTCTGGGTCAGCGACCTGCTTCTTTGAGGAAGGGGCGTTGGAACTGAGAGTGGGAGGAAGTGTGTTCCCACCAGAAAGAGCAAAGGTCCTGAGGCAGGAAGGAGCTTGTGTGTTCGAGAAGGCCAGCACGGCCAGACACAGCCTCAGGGGCCGGTCTGTGAGGCTAAACGAGCCTTGGGGGTGGGGGGGCAGGTGCAGCCAGGCTGCACAGGACCCCGTGGGACAATGTAGGGATTTGAATCTGTACCTTAAGGGCAGTGGGAAGCCCCCAATGGGTTTCGGCCAGGAAATGACACGATTGTTTTTACATTCTGAAAAGACCAATCTGCCATTATAGGAGGCCAAACTGGATAGAGAGACCAGTGAGGTGTCTACGAGAGAAGACGGTGGCATGGACTGGGGTGTTTGTAGTGGAATGGACAGGGAGAATGCGTAGATTTGGGAGGTACAATGAACAGGGCTTGGTGATGGACTGAGTGTGGGAGATGAGATCAATGCACAGCTGCTTAATTCATTCCAAGTTCCTTCGCAGTATGCAAAATGGACACATTAGTTCCCCATTAACCAGGTTAGCTCTCTAAAGGTAATTTAACAAATTGGGCACCTAATCATTACCTTACTTATCTCGTGTGCCTGTTTTGATGACTGCATTTCTCCGATTCTACCCTAAAGTCAGAAGAATCCACAGCATTGATTGAGGAGGTTTGAGAATTGTTTTTGATGGGTAATTGGCATGAGCTATAATGATAATCAGTCTTCATTAGAAGTCTACTTAAAAATCAAACATCCTGTATTTGGTTTTCACTTATTAGATGGCAACGGTTACATTTAAGTGTAACTAAGGAAGGTTTCTCAGATCATTTGCTTCTGACTTTGACACTGCTCACAGTTTTCTGAACTATTTATCTAAGTTGGTTATATGGTTTTCTGTAAGCAGACAGACTTTTTTATGCATTTGACACACAAGACTGATCTTCAGTCTTCCTTGTTTCTTTTTATTTCAACTCCTTCCTTCATATGTTAAAACAAAAGGAAGACATAGTTCCAGGATGACTGTCAATGTGTTATCCTTTAAAATTGGTAGTTAAGACCCTTCCATAGGGGTCCAGCTTAAAGATTGTGTTTTCTCACACTTCAGACTTCTATTACTTACAACATTATTAACTATTTTTTAAAACTAGGTTAGCACCACTCATTCATTTGCTCAGTAAGCATTTAGTAGGTGTCAGCTGCATGCCGAGCATTAGCAACACCAAGACAACCTCAGGTGGCTTACAGCACACAGTGAGGCAGTCAATTACTGCAGGACGGTGTGACAAGAGGTCATGGGAGAAAGAGAAGGATGCATTGGCATGGAGAGGGCACTGCACAGCCAGCAACATGGCACCACGGTGCTCCTGGGACATTCACAAAGGCACACTGTACGTGTGAAGGTGGGAGATAGGTGGGAGGAGGGAGGAGGGAGGAGGGAGGAGGGAGGGAGGAGGCTGCGGCGGCCAGTGCTGGATCATGAGGAACCGTCAGCCAGGCCAACAAGTTCTAATATATGCTGGAGGTTACAGGATGGCCAAGTAGAACCACCACGTGTTCAGGTCTGCATTTCAGAACTACTACATATTGGGCATGTGTTTAGGAGACATGGAGAACAGACTGGGAAATGAAGCAAAACAGGAAAGGGGGAGACCTACAGGAGACTGTGATGACAACACAGTCAAGATGCGAGCAGAGCATGAACCAGGAAAGAGCACAGACAGCAGAAAAACAGTAGAGTGAAAGGACAGGACATCGTTGCCTGCTGGGCATGGGGGCAGGGGATTCCAAGGTAACGCCTCATTTCAGGTGGAAGGGGATAGTGGTGGCACTGAATAGACCAGAGCCATTGTGGGGCCTGGGGAGGAGGACCTGGCTTTATTTAGTGCTGGGACCTGGAGGCTTTTCAGGAGAAACAATTCCAGAGGCAGCCAAGTCGGGGGCAGTCTGGAGACCAGAGGGAGATATGTACTCGAGGTAGGGGCTGCTGGTGGGTGGGACAAGAGAAGCGGTGGGCAGGGGACAGATGGCAGAGGGTCACCTGCGTTCCCGGGGCCAGCAGAAGCAGCAGGCTCTTCAAAGGAGACTGAAAGGCAGGCAGTGAGTACCAATGGCGGCAGAGGAAGGGACAGGCTGGGAGACACTGCTCGCCCCGGGTGGCAGAGCAGACAAGCTCCCCATGCAGTAGAGTGCTGTCCATTTGTCTGTGAGAATTCTCAGGCTCGAAACACAAGAAGGGATGGGGGGGGCATCCCCAGAGGGGAACAAGTAGAGATTACTTCATCTTTTACATAAGGCCACGAGGTCTCTAGTCTCTGGTGCCTTTATTTCCTCTACGAACCTCACCCAACCAACTGGGAAGGACGACAGTATTCCTGGGTCCCACACACTCCCAGGACTCACACTTGTGAATAGTTTACTGGTTCTTAACACGTGACACGGGGGTAACACATAATTTTGATATTTATGTGATTGTTTTCTGGTTCAACAGTTTTTGTCCCCAGCTGTCATTAATTTCTTTGCATCTAGTGGCATCAACTTCTTTTCTCTAACCCAAGAGGGCCTGATTGGTAACTTCACCTGTAAGACTGAGCATAACAGTGACATGACAGGGCCATAAATGCATTTTTTGATAGTGGCATACATGTTTGATAATCTCTGAAGCAACAAAGAACATATTTATTTCATTTTCCATATGGCAACCCTCACAATGGGCTCTAATTAATTTCAAAGCCATGTAGATTTGGTCTGAGAGATGGGAAATATCTCTGAGCTTTTGCAAAAGGACAGGTACCAGGGGCAGATGACACCTTGTGGATGCCTCCCAAGCAGCATCATTATTACTGGGGGACAAATGAATCAAAGGTTTCAGATGTAAGGTAAACACATCCTATAGACCCCCTTAGGATGATGATGAAAATCCCAAGCAGGTAACTTTATCTTTGAAAATGACATTACTTACTAATGTGCTGTTTCCTGCTCCACCCCAAACCGACTCTTACAATTAACCCAGCCTGGATGACAGTGTAGGGCAAAGCAAGAAGGAAAGGTGGGAAAACCTGTGCCCACCATGCTGGGCCCCAAAAGACAAACTTCACCATGACAGCCAAACCATAAAGCACAGAAGGAACACCAAGACCCTCAAAGACCACCCGTTCTTGGCCATGTATTTATACTGCTAAGTGGACAATCATACTATTTTTCAAAATACCTAAATTCCAAACTAAGGCACAAATTAAACATTCACATTCAAATTTGCTTTAGACTAACTAGGAGGTGCTAGTTCATGCCCCAGAGGCCCTTCAAATTTCTGTAACTTTGCTGGAAAAAGGAAAAGATGATAACTGGGACCTGGCTTCATGGCACAGCGGTAAGGTGCTGCTAGGATGAGATGGTAATTAACATCCAAAGCTCCTAGTGGTTGTTTTTAATTGTCCAGCAAAGTCGTGTCACAGCCTGTGAAGAAGGAAACACTCTTTAAAAGCCAAACAAGAGCTCCCAGGATTACCCACACGCACCTGTCCGAAGTTCTCTTCGTCTATACAGAACATGAGGTCCAGTTCAGTGGGGTCATTTTCTAAGATCCATTTCAAAGAGTTGTAATATTCACTATCCTATAGAAATAACACAGAAATTAAAATTGAGCATCTTCTTTCAAAATACAAACTCATTCGACTTCTTTAAGTCCTTCTAATGTAATTCCATGCAGAATGCTCACAAATGACATTAATACTTACTAATGTGCTGTTTCCTGCTCCACCCCAAACCGACTCTTCCCCTTTAATATATAAACAAAAAACTTCAGTAACAGGAGCTTGTTGTTGAATCTTGTCCCCTGTGAAATGTAGTGGAAGCACCTTCTCTGGATGGTGGTCAGAGATGCCACATCCTGTGCTGTCTACAAAATTTACGACGTAGAGAGCACTATACTTCCCAGCTTTCAAGAGTGAAAACAGCAGAGGTGAAAAATGTTCTAATTAAATATCAACGGTTTTCACTTATTTCCTTTGCTGTGTTCTCACTGCTCACTGGTCAGGCCCAGAGACTCTCCTGCTGGAGACCTAACAGGCTCGAGAAGGCATAAAAGAATGTGAACACTGTACAGTTGTCTCTCGGTATCCAAGGGGAACTCGTTCCAGCACCCCATGCAGATACCAAAATCTGAGGATGCTCTAGCCTCTGCTACAAAGTGGAGTAGTATTTGCATAAAACCTAGGCACATCCTCCTGTATACTTTAAACCACCTTTAGATTACTTATAATATCTAACACATGAATGCTACGTGAATAGTTACTGCACTGTACTGTTTGTCTATCTGTATTATTTTTTATTGCTGTATTATTATTTTTATTTTTTTTTCCATAAGAATTTTTCATCTGTGGTTGGTTGGATCTGTTGATGCAGAACTTGCAGATCAAAGGGCCGACTGTATTTAAAATACTGTCAACATGTGGTATAAAATTACTTCAGACTTTAAGAGAAATTCCTACATTCTTAGCTTCCTCACTCTACAGTAATAAAAGCATAGAACATAAATAAAAGGTAAAAGCTGAAGAGAAAATTGAGACTGGTTTGATGATACGTACACCAACCCCCCCCCATGGCTGAAAACAGCAGTGGGTCCCAGAGCATGCCGGTCCTTCCTCTCCCTTCCCACCAGGATGATGAGCACAAACACTGGGTAAATGCTGGTGAGCGCCAAGGACCTGGCTCATACACCAAACTATGGAGGGGACAGTCGATACCACCACCATGCCAAGGATACACAGATGCTTCCTAGCTCAAGTGACAGAACATGACAGCAGAGCTGCCAATGCCCTGCATGGACAAAGATGCTTCCTGATGGCCCTGTGCGTGCGTTGGCACATGGGCAACACCCACACGCCCCGGAGGTAGAGGATACAGTACAGGTAAATTAAAAAAAAACAAAAACAAAAACAAAAAGCAAAAGTATTATGAAAAGAGTGTTGATTTTTGTTTTCACAGAAAATTCTTTCTACTCTAGAATGGTCAGTCTAGGTGAAATGGGTAAGCTAAACGCAGCGTGGAAACCCTCGTCACTTGTCGGAGACCTCGCAGCGTTCATTCCCAGCTCTCCACTGTAGTGTGCTCGCTCGCTCTTCCACATCTAGGATGACGGTCAGTATTGCCCTTATCTAATGTTTTGGCTTTTGCCCCTGCCATTTTTACGAGGTCAGAAAACAAAGGGATGGTTTCTAAGCACTCAGTACTAGCAGTTTTGAACAGAAAACACAGGCTGTGATGAGGTCTGTGGATGTCCCTTGGATTTAATTTGTTCACACGAATCCTATGCTGGGTAAGGGGAGGTAGCTGAGATTTGGGTGAACTCACTGTAAGTACTATGATACTAGGAAATGTGAATAATGATCTGCTTGTGACAAAAATTAGGGTGATCAATAAATTGTTTAGTTGTTCACAGTGCGTGACAATACCCACGAAAACCACTTTGTCTACGAACGTGGTCTCCAACACTTTTCCATAAGGCATGTGTGCCCATGACAGCCACCGTGAGTGACTGTATTTACTCACCACAGACTCCATGTCATTCAGGGTTATCTGCTTGCCCAACATCATTTTGTAAAATGGTCGAATGAAGAAACCTAAAATAAGAAAACTGGGTTGTTTCAAACCTTCCATACTGCTAAGCATTAGGGCATGAAATAAAAGATTAACCTTTCAATTTGAATCAGAGACAGGACAGACTAGTCAAGAACCTTTGACGGCAATCCATGGATGAGCAGGCAAGGCCTGGTCGACGGGGGGGTGGGCAGTGGCAAGGGGGCGGCTGTGGAAATAAAAGATTAACCTTTCAATTTGAATCAGAGACAGGACAGACTAGTCAAGAACCTTTGTGGGCAATCCAGGGATGAGCAGGCAAGGCCTGGTCGACGGGGGGGTGGGCAGTGGCAAGGGGGCGGCTGTGTTAAAAGAGACAGCATAGCAGGGAGGAGCCAAAAGGCTTCCGGGAGGTGACAGGGAGCCTCGAGGTCACACAGGAGCCTGCAGCACGAACAAGACCTATGAACCTGGCGGAGAAAAGGGCACTCTATGCAGAGGAGCAAGACTGGTGACTTGCCAACAGCCTGCTAGGGCAAAGGCATAGGGTGTCCCAGGGAGGACAGGCCAGAGAAGGTGCCAGCAATGCACAGCCTGCATGGGTGCCTCAGGGTCTGGGCTGCTCCCTGAATGCAACTGGGAGTCACTGGAGGGCCAAGTGTACATCCCACCTGCATTCCGGTGTCTTACTTGGGCAATGATGGGGAGAAAACACGGGTGGGGGACAAGATGGAAATAGGGGAGACCCCTGAGAGAGCTTGTGTAACCCTCCGGGGAGGTTGAGAGAGGAGCCTCAGGAAGGTAATGGCAGATGTCCCTCAGGGACCTCCCATGTTACCTCGTCCAAAGGCAAGCTGACATTCCATGCCTCCTCACATGGGGCCCTCGCACCGTGAGGGCTAGAACCTCAGGCTGGTGCTCCCCTCCACCCTCGCCTGCCAGGCACCAGACTCTGATGTGCTTTAGCGTTGGGGGAGGTGATGCATGACGCCGACGACAGGGAGTAGCGGGCGCTCCAGTCAGTAAGAACTGAAGATACCGCGCTTCACTGTGCACGTCTCTGGGCCCCCAACTTTGCAGTCCCTCAACTGGGCTCTGATCGCCTTCTGCAGGGACTACTCCGGCCGTCTCCCAGATGCCCCCACTTGTACTCGCTTCCACCCCTCACTCCCTGGCCTCCTGGCCAGGCCCCACTCTTCTGAGATGATCGTGGTACTTAGACTGAACGCTCAGACGCTTCCCCACCCGTAAGGTGCAGCTGCCTCCATAAAGCTCCAGCCAACTCAGTTTCTGCTCTGCGTGCTCAACATATTCCCTTCTGCTTGGACACCGCCACTGCGATTCTTCTGTTTCTCTTTTTCCCACTAAAATTTACGTTCACTGAGGTCAGGAAAACATCTCACTTCTCTGTATTTACTTGCAACTAACAGTGTCTTCTCACTTGGCAGAAGATGAATAAGCTGACCTTTCTCTAAGAGGTGGATGTGAATTTGAACAGGGTGCAATAATCTAATAATGACTCTGAAGCTGCAAATTAAAATACATTCACACTATACACATACACAGAAAGAGCGTAGTTTTCTTCTAATCAGAAAAAATTGTTTACTCTCTTCCCAAATAAAACTGAAATATCAAAAGCAGCTAGCAATTAACAGTAGAAATATATTGCAGGGGAAAAGTACAGAGGTATAGCAATTAATTATTGGAATAGCTAAGGCTCCATAAATGCAATTAACAAATTAATTCCCCAGAAATATCTCTTTACAGTAACTAAAATGTCAATCTCAATTTTTACTCTGTCTTCCACCCTCCACCACTTTACCCCAAGTTCTTAATAAATATTTCTGATTCTTTTTCCTCACTGATATTTCTGTAGTGTTTTCTTAAGGATACTACTTTTGAAATGGCTAAATCCGTAAGAGGTCTCTATTATAAGCTTATAGAAATATCCAGGTAGGAGGTTTGACATCTAATTTCCAAGGTATTTTGAAATTCTGTGATTTATATGCTTTAAATAATAATGAAATTATTCTGTGTCGTCTGTTTCAGGATTAAAGTTTTAGCTGAGTTGTAACATTACTTTGAAATTATTTAGTCTTCTCACATTAAAAAATAATAATTTGAGGACAAATGGAACAATGACAGAATATTGGATGGATAAGATTTTAATTAACTTTTCAATTAGCTTTTCCATCTGTCACCAAATCTAGCTCTTGCTAAAGAAAAGTTTTTCCAGAAAACACACAAAATGTATAAAATACAGAATGTTCTGTGCTTTACACTTAAAATTTTAAAAAAGTTTTTAAACTGTGTATGTACACTATGTCTTCAGTGCTCAATTAAGATAATACCAGGGAAAAGAACCTCCATCATATGCAAAACATAAAAACACTTTATTGAATTACAGAGCACCAGTAAGGCTTCTGCTTAAAATCAGTGATGTGAAAGACAAGACACCACAAATGACACTACTCTATTTTTATTATTTCACAATTTTTTAATAACTTACCATCTAAGAGTTTCCCATGAAATACTGCCAGACCAGCAACTCTTCCAATAAAAGTGAAATAGGACAAATGATCTTCATTACAGAGGCCTGAGTTGGGATTGATCTGAAGCGTATAGTTGTCCCTTTTGGTGAGGAACAGAGAGACGAAAATCCCAATCATATTTTTAAATAAGAAATGAGAGAATTTGAATTTTTCTTTGCCACCTGTCACTCAGCTTTTATAGTGCACTTGCAAACATTCTGTACCTAGTGAGAAAAGGTATAAGCTGGAGAAGACAACTTACCATTTAGTCACCCCTTTTCTGTGACCAACCATTGAGGCCTATTAGATGTATATGCCCTACGTAATAAGTTAAACCATATGAAACTGCTGATGTTTGACTATTTTTCATCTCCAAACTATCTATTCCATATGATTCAGCTCAATATCTTGGGAAGATGAGAAATCCCACACAAGAAAGGGGCTGATTTCCAATGATGTGAGTGCTTTAGGCTGTCTCTGATGAAGGAAGGTTAATTCTTTCAGAGACTGTTGGTTTGGTCATGAGATTGTTCTTATGGGCCCAACCCTTGGTCTTTCTGATCACAACTCTGCCCTGAACAGGCCTCTAGGGCCCAATGAGCAGAATATGGCTATCTAAACAATGCAAACCTCCAAATATTTAGATATGTCCAATGGTCCTTCCTTGGTCTCACAATCATGAGGATCACTGGTTTTCAAATGAGGCTCCATAAATAGATTCCTTCAGGGATATCTTTGGAAATGTGGGTGAAGGTGAGCATCTTGCTTCCTTCCCCACCCCTTCAATAGTTTTGTCAATTTAACAAAGTGGACTATCTCATGGGACTTAGTAAAAATAATAAAAAGTAAATCAGACAATTCTTCACTAGAGCAACAGAGAAGGATATATTAAGGTTGCCCTCCAAATGAGCCCCCCGGGAACCTGGCACCAGGTGGGAGATGCAGGACACCTATGTCCCCTTAGAGCCCAGGGCTGAAGTGATGTTAAAGGCCTTTTGGTAAGGTCAACAACTATTCTACTGGGGATCAGGTCCAGCCTAAACCTTGGGGGATTCACAGCCTGAAGGAGAAGCAGTCAGCCTTATAAGTAGCCGATGTGTGTTGAGAAAGCAATTAAATCTGCCTCAGTTTCCAGGCCTGGCCATGGTGAAATCTAACACAAGGGGGAACCTGATTCTTCCCTTACAGGACCTGGGCATGGCACTTGTGTTCTCAAACATGGGTCCTCGAAGTCCTCATAATTTGGTGTGTTGAGAAAGCAATTAAATCTGCCTCAGTTTCCAGGCCTGGCCATGGTGAAATCTAACGCAAGGGGGAACCTGATTCTTCCCTTACAGGACCTGGGCATGGCACTTGTGTTCTCAAACATGGGTCCTCGAAGTCCTCATAATTTACCTAAGTAGTGTGACTTCAGAAACTATTCTTGTTCATAGAACAAGTTCTTCTTCTGAAGTCTAGCACTGACAAATTCTCCTCCTGAATTAACATAACATTACAAATGAAAATTGCTTCTTGTTCCTTACCATAATTACCTCACACATTTTCAATTTCAGTTCCACGAATCCAACAGGCAAGAGAAGATCAATTTTAGGTGTTTACAGAGTACATTACCTCACCATGTAGTCAGAACCTGTCCTAGACATCTAAGGAGTGGGGGTGTATGGAGAGACTGATATCAGCAGTGCTAATTCATCTAAAAACCAGTGAGCTGCTTATCTTGTTAAGTCTAAACTTATTAAGAATAGAACGATTTCAGGGGACATTCTGAATGTACCCCACACACTTACGTCGCAGAGTACTCAAAGAGGCCATAGTAGGGATTGAACATCTCTTTGGACAGTAAGAAGAACCATTCTCTGGCCACGCCCCCATAGTCAAGACCCTTCTCTGATTCGAATTCAATCCACAGTCTAGCTTTCAGGACATCTGGTCTTTTCACAGACATGATTCTCCGATAGGACTCTTCAAATATGTTATTTCTGTGAAGTTTCATTTCAAACCTATTTGGGATATCAGCCTAGACAAAAGAAAAAACAACACATACTCATACAGTAAGTATACATATTATTTCCTAACAGAAAAAACAAAACAAAGGGTAGAAATGATGGTAGGCTTCAAATAAACAAACAGTGATGAATGGTTCCAACTGAGATTCTTTCCTTTTCAGATTTTTCCTTGCCCAGGCAGAAAGCTGCACTGTGTCGACAGGAGACACACAGAGCAGCCACCAGCAACTGCTCAGCTCTGTCAGCAGCATGTTGCAGAAGATCTGCTCGCTGAGTGGACGGAAACAGTCCTCTCCCACTTTATGAACAATTGTGGGTACTTAGTCACACACCGGCAACTGAAATACAGTCAATTCAATATATTGATTCCATCAAGGAGAGAATCTGCAGCCCAGGTAATCAAAGCCTGTAGATAATCCCCACCTGGCCAGGCTGGGACCATTCTCAACTCTGGTAGGGACTGCAGGTGGCAGATACTGTCCATGATGCCTACAAGTTCATGATGCTGCTGTGGGCAGTGGGATCCTGACTATGCCAAGTTTGGGGAAAGCATCCCAAAGCCCGTAGTTCATTGACATGAAAATAACAGAACACTTGACTGAAGCTGTGAGAGCTGCCTCCTGGAAAGAGAAGGTCCAGGGTCAGCCTTGCTACTGGAAGCAATCTGCAGAGACAGTTTCCAGAACACAGAAGACATGCTGTGTAAGTGCCACATAGTGAGACTGGGTGATATCCACAAAGTCATCACCTATTAAGGGGAAAGGACTCACAAAGAAACACCAAGGAATTTTGTGTGTTCAGATTTGAGCTTTGAAGGCAAAGAATCATTTCAAAAGTAGTTATCCTTGAACTATGTGAATCAGGACTTTGGAATAGAGCACAGAGATAAGACGCTGTGCCTCATGCACAGAAGATGCCCCGCATAGGAGGCATCAACTGAGGCATGTGCGGCATGGAGGGGTGGCGACAGGACACAGGCAAACTGGACAGCCTGAACTGTGGCTGTCATTCTCCTTTCCCCAATCGTGTGACATGGTAGATGAGCAAACTGAGGAGAAAACTGCTAAAACCTGTACCCGACAGGTGGAATCAGAAAGTACAACAGAAGGAACCATGCTGAAGAGTACGGGGTGTCAGTGGAAAAGACAACATTGTAATTTAAAACACTGCTTATAAAAATTTACATGGTTTATCAGTTTTAAACTGCCAGTGAAAATTGTAACCAGAGCATTACACTTGGACCCAACCCTGCCAAGTAATATAATTAAATATTACTTTGAAATATTATAGCTAAACTATACTATTTAAAAGGAAGGACTTAAACATTTTTCTAACAAGGATCTAAGTTTCACTAAATACTGTAACCATATGCAATTGTGTGGACTTTCCCAAACGTTTTGACTAGGGTCCTAAATTTATATCCCATAATAATCATCTGTATCTTTTCATGTATTACATAAGAAATTACCCTTCAGGTGATTTGATATGTAATACTGAATTAATCTTCACTTACCATTTCTGTTAAAAAGAAAACTCAGATTGAAGATCCAGGTGGATCAAAGTGCAGTGAAAAAAGGAAGGTGATATTTTTAGTATTCATACATAAGTAACAAACAAGCTGTTCTCACTGAAGTAACTTTGTTAACTTATAAATGACTAAAACACAGGATTTTTGAAGACATGATTACTCACGGGTTTCTTTAATTTCTTCCTAAAGTAGTCATATTTCTGCTTAAATTCTCTGGAGTAAGGAACAGCCTGGAAGATAATTTACAAATACAGATAAAGCAAACAACACACCTGAAATTTTATGTATACTGAGCCAACATTCAGATGATTTCATGAATCATAAATATTAAATTTTCACTCTTCATATTATCCATGGAAAATTTATATAATGTCTACCTAGCACACATAAAAATCCTAGAACTGATTGGGGCTAACAATCAGTACTAAATGGAACTTTCACCCCTGAAAACAACTATATTGATACTCAAGAAATCATTTAGGGGTATGCTACACAAACTAAATATGCTTTCCATATAACTTTTATCAGAATATGAGTCAGGGCATTATATACATATATAATATTTATATTACATATATATTTTTCTTTTTCTTTTGCTGTAGTTAAGAGTTATTGGCTATGATACTTTTTATACACAACTCGAAATTATCACCTATACTGGTCATTCTGAAAAGCGTAATCATGCTTTAAAAATCTTTTTGGGGAAATACAATGAGCAGAAAGAGAAGTAAAGAACCAACACTCTTGTCAAGGAATATAAAATCAGGTAAATGGCATTCTGGAAAAGTCCCCAATTTAGGAGTCAGAAGGTTTGCCCCTTACTATACTAAGTGGTCTTGGGCAAGGATTTATTTAAATCTCAAATGCCTTTTCTATGGAAGTAGAATGAACCATCAGGTGTGGGCTCAGTAACTGAGTTGACTGCAATTATTCAAAAGTTCTGATATGTCTTCTTGCAAAGTAGAAACATTTTTATGTAGTCATTTAAATAACCTTTATTTGCTATGTTGTAAAGCAGCTTATAATTTCTTAGAGTCAGAGTCCTGACTTTAGGCTACTGAAAAGGATTACAATTTTTTTTATAAAGCAAAAAGAATTGGCTTTTGCAGACATACAGACGTAACTCTGACAGCCTCATACTCAGAGCAACTGGTTGCTTTTTATTGAACAGAGTGAATTCTGGCAGAAAACAGTCCTTCTGATATCATTTTGGGCTAAGTTTCCTGACCAGAAAGAGAAGAAATGAAGAATGAAAGCTTCCCTCCTTCAAACTCTGTTTTAAGACATGACTATACAAATTATAGCTAACCGGAACAAAACCGAAGCACCACTCTTACAGAAAATGATGACATCAGGGCTCTGCTTTGTAACTCAAGAGCAATAAAGACATCATATTTATATATCTTAAGAACATTCTAAAGACAATTTATACTGCCTATGGTCTCTGTTCTTCGTTTTTAAGCCAGTCTTCATTTGATTTTCTACTGAACACTGGATTTAATCACATATCCTATTTATTTTAGGCAGTGTTTATTACTCTGATGAAATCATATATAAATTCAGATGCTAGGCAAGGTATAAATTTTGTCAATCTCCGGACAACCACCAAAATAAGGAAAAGAACACAATATTCTGACATAAGCTAATAAAGAGATCATATTTTTTGCTCTACCAGTGCCACATCCCACCACAAACTAAGATTTCCTCTCTAGTTTGTTTATTTATCACTCTCAGCTGGTCCACGTGCTGATTCATTCAACTCTGTGCAAGGCATTTCACATGCTAAGGAAGGTTTCTTCCCTGGCTCCCTCCTGGAGCAACACGCAGTAAGGAATAAATGAATAAATAGTGGTAAGTGCTGCGAGGGAAAACATGACACAGAGCTGCTGGGGGTCACTTTCTATGAGGTGGTCAGGAAAGGCAGCTCTGAAGAGGGACACCTGAGCAGAAACCAGAGTGACAGGAGAGAACACAAAACGACGGGACGAGTGCCAAGTCCTGAGGAGGGAAGGCATGTGGCTGATGCCTTTAGCTGTGACTGATGGTGACAGAAGGGAATTAAACCAAAAAATGATTCCCCTTTACTCTCTCACACCAGCATCAGAAGACCTGAATTCTAGTGTAGACCCGGTTCCCAGCTGGCTCTGTGACATCACCTCTCCACTAAGGAATTTCTTCGCAGTTCTGTAGAAGGATTTGACTAGGTGAACTTTAAGGCTCTCTCATTTCCAAAAGTCTGTGATTCCCAGCAATTATTTCTTGTTTATTCCTCCCATCGCCCAAAATGCTGGGGGTGGGGGGGGAGCTTAAATATTGATCATGTTGTATGTAAGTTCGATAATCTTAAGTGACAAGTTTCCGAGGGAATAGATTTCAAATAGTTGCCCCTAGCCTGTGATAACCATTTTCTTGCTTGCCAGGCAGGTGCTGACTAGGCGTGGGTGGAAATAAGATGCTGAGATATTTCTGGTATTTCTTCTTCTGGGGAATGATGCATAAAAGTTGAAAAACATTATCTTCCTTCGATATTTATTTTTTTTCTCTCCAGAGGTAGTTCTCACGACAGAGTAAGGAGAGTTAAGATTTTATAAAAGAGTCCAACAATGTACTAGGACAAAGACATCCCTACAATTCAGCTTCTGAAGAGAATTACACGTGTATTTCTGGTACTGGACAAATTATTTGTTCTCTCCTGAAAATCTGTTATCTTATTTTCTTGCATACGAATTTAACATGTTAAATAAGCCTATGTGAAAAATTAACATGTCTGTTGATTAAAGCCCTTTTGCTCTGTATTAAACATTCTTTCTCTTTTGTACAAAATGAAAACCTGCCTTCTTGTGTGAGTCAGTTCTGCGTCATCACCATCCAGGTGAGATACTGGAACTTTTTCCTTGGAGAGAAGGGCTCATGCCTGACATAAAGACAACACTGATGCCAGCACACTGGGGGCCCCAGTCCTGATTCTGACATTTGCAGGGACTGTCGGCAACACAATTAGCTTTCTGAATTTCTGATAAATTGGGGACAATAACATCTGCCCCGCCTTCCTGAAGGGATTGCTGTGAGTTTCAAATCAGCTGATTATAAAGGTCTTGGAAAAGTACAAAGCGTTACACAAGCATGAGACAGTATTCATCATAGCAGCAGGCACAGGCAGAACTTAATAAATGCTACTAATGGTGATGTCTGCTACATAGAGAGCATACTGACACACAGGAAAGCTCTACAGAAAGGATCCCCTCGCTCCCTAAAAATATGTAAAACTGCTGGACCAACTTAGAACTAATATTTTTAAAACTTAAGAAAAAGAGAAACTTTAGGTATAAGCAGAAAGACTTAAAATTAGAGAAATAAGTCACTGGGCCTAGACACAGGTGCCTGGGATTTGGGTTTTAATCTTCCTAAGGGGACACAGAACTTGACCTACAGTCTATATGGCCTATGGAGCCAAAACAGAGTCCCCTGATTAAAACCTAACATCTGAAAAGGGGAAAAGAAAACTCTACCCACTGGCTCAGGAAGTTGCAAAGAAGCTTACCTTCTCTCCAGGACCATAAATGAATGAGAAACAAAAAGAAACAGGCCTGTAATAAATCCATACTTCAAGCTTGTACCAAAATGGGTAGAAGGTTCACAGTTATGTTAATTGGGAATGCATAAACTCAAGATAAGAAGTTAACAGTAAATACAAGTCAGGAGTTATAAAAGTCCATAAGAAAAAAATGAAGATGAGCTCGCACACACACACACACACACACACACAAATTATAAACTGAACTAGATAAAAGTCCATAAGAAAAAAATGAAGATGAGCTCGCACACACACACACACACACACACACACACACACAAATTATAAACTGAACTAGGTAATACACGACTATTAAGGAGGGTTTACAAACATAACAAGTGGGAGATTTAGCATCGATAGGACCAGAGATAATAAAAATCTGAAAGAGGCTATGAAATAAGTATTTTTAAAATGATAAGAGGTAAAAGAATTAAAAAATAAAAGGAAAGAACAGGCTGTAACTAAAGACAAAGTTTAAAAGACCAAATAGAACTTTGAGCATTTAAACATAGTCACTGAAATAATAAACGCAATGAGCTAATGAAGAACAGATTAGAAAAAAGCTTAAGAATTAATTTGAAGAGCTGAGTAGTAACTCATAATACAGCAACGAGAGAGATGGAAAATAAGAAAGTGATAGAGAAGGGAGACTATGTAAAAGTGAACCGAATGCCTAACTGGAGTTACAGAAGTAGATAATCAGAATGAATGGGGAAAATACAGTATGTGAAGAAATAACATCTGAGAATTTTCCAGAACAGAGGAAAGACATGATTCCCATATTGAAGAGTCATGAGTCCAAAGCAAGATCAAGAGAAATCCACACATAGATATATGATGGTGAAATTGCAGAACATCAAAACACAAAGAAAAATTCAAAATCACCAGAGAAAAGGGCAATTTGCCCACACAGAAATGACAATCAGATTGACAGCAAACATCTCATCATCAGTTATAGAGACCAGAAGATATTTAAGAATATCTCCAAAGTAATGAAGTAAAAGGACTGAGAATTCTACAGTCAGCTGAAATTAACATGAATAGAGAGGTCAGATAAAACAGTCTGAGTCAAAGACTAAGAGATGTTACCACTCAGACTCTCACTGAGAGTCTCCGCTGCTGAGCGGAGGAGCTCAAACTTGAGTGGGCACCAGTCTCCCTGGGCAGGCTTGTTCAAACACAGATTGCTGCACCCACCCCACAGTTGCTGCTTCTGTAGGTATGGGGGTGGGCCCTGAAAACTTGCATTGCTACCAAGTCCCCAGATGATGCTGATGCTGCTGGTCAGACCACACATTGAAAAGCTGGAACTCCACCATATTTTGTTAAGGGGGAAAAAAAAAAAAAAAACCCAGAAAAAAAATGGATGCAAGAACCAACAGTGGGCAAAGAAACTTGTTCATTTACAGGCAAAATTAAATAAGCATTGACTGCTTAAGAAACAAGATAAAGTATTAATGACTATTTGCAAAGTTTAAAGACAAGGTAGTTTTAAAATTGTACCCAACAATGATATGGAAGATGGTAGTGGAAGAATGGCACTGAAGTTCCCTGAGATCCTGACGTCTCACAGGAGAATAGAGTGATTTTTATCTTAAGTATGTTGGTTAGAAATTTTATTTTATTTTATTATTATTATTTTTTTCCTTTTTGTCTTTTTTCGTGACCGGCAACAGATCGCAACCCTCAGTGTCGCGCCCGGACCGGGACCGGCAACGGGATCGCAACCCTCGGTGTTGCACCCATACCTCGCTCAGCCAGTGAGCAGCCGGTCTGTACGTGGGATCCGAACCCTCGGTGGGAGCGCCGCTGCGCTTCCCAAGTGGCGCACTGTAGCAGTGCGCCACCGGGCCGGCCCAATTTGGTTAGAAATTTTAATGTGAGCACTAAAAGAGGAGAGATAGAAAATACAACTTGCAACTTTCTCAATGTAGAGAAAATACAAGAAAATAGAGAGTACTCTATCAATCTAACAGAAAACAAGAAAGGAAAAAAAATGCAAGAGACGGGAAGAATATACTAGGCAAATACTAACGAAGGGAGAAAGTGAATGTAATTATATAAATCTCAGACAAAACTGACAGAGCAACAATCACCATGGAGATTTTGATACAACTCTCTTGGTGAGATCTGATGGTCAGAAAAAAAGTAACAAGGATAGGGATAATTTGAACACCACAGGCATGACCTAATGGACACATAAAGAACTCTATATCCAACTAAAGACACAATGCACATTCTTTTTAAGAAACAAAAAGAACATTTACAAAAGATGATCAAGTCTCCAAGGAAGTTTCAAATATCCAATAATAAATATTCCATTGGCAATATTCTCTGACCACAATGCAAAAAATTAGAAATCAATAAGAAGTGGATAGGCAAAAACCCTCCCATACTTTCAGAAACTAAAAAGTACATCTAAATCATTTGTAAGTCAAGGAGAAAAGTCATACAGAAAATGCCGAATGTTTAGAACTGAATGATGACAAAGGCCACATGTCTACACTAAATTGGTAATTATCTAAATAGACATACTCCTATTGAAAGCAATATGACCAATAACAAAAAGTGCAAACAAGGCTCTCTTATTAATAGAAAACAGAAATAGAGATCTTTTAGGGGGGCAAATCTACCTGGATTTATGATGCTAAACAAATTTCAATAATAATTAACAATGTCTACAAGTGTTTGAAGGTATATGATTGATAACGATAGAAATATTTGAAAAGCCTTCCAAGTTATCATGTCAAGAGTCTTCTGCCACTTGAAAACAGCACTGGTTCTTGAATTTACCTTCGTTTTTAATGATGTAGAAGGCAAAATACTATTCTAACAAGTAGTCATGACCGTGCATATACTAAAAGGAAGCTGTCGTGATAAGGCAGTGTTTTTAAACTATATAGAGAAAAAAGTAGTTGACTGTTTTAACCTAGGTATTACTGGGCACTTTGCATAGGAAATGGTACCAAAGTAGCTGAGCAGAGTCAACAATTCATGTCAGTTATCAATTAATGTCTGTACTGTATTATCTTAAGTTTTCAAATGTACTTCTCTTTATAATTCAAAACAATTTAAACTGAGTCAGATTAAAGCCAAAAAATTAACATTTTAAATATACCTATTGGCTCAGCACTCAATAGAATAAACATTACTTCCTTTTGTGTCTCCAGTCTTTTCTGCTGATCCCAGTACATTTCCTGTAATTCCAAATTATCTCCTTATACTCGTATAACTATGACAAAAGTTGCTGGTGTACTCCCTGTTGATGAATGTGGCCCCAATTCTATAGATTCCACACGTTTTCAATACCAAGTGCCTGCTGCTGCTCAGTGACTGAGATTCTCACTCTTCCTATGAACAGCATGCTGCAGTATTTTAGTAGGTTACTGTGACAAGTCAGAACTGATTCTTTTTCTACCTGGCATATATAGCAGGGGGACTATGAGATAACAGTAGGTCAGTGGAGTTAAAAATTCTTAACTTTGCCAGCTCCAGAAGTTAGCTACAGCCTCACCCAAACTTCTACAGATTTTTAAAGCTGGAAGAGATTTAAATTTATTAGCAAGCATTTACTACCCTTGGCCTAAAAAAAAGACAAAACTCTGCAAATATAAGGCTTTGTTTTGCTTCACATAAAAAGGAAGAGAAGAAATTTTGATCGTACTTTCAACCCACCCTTTTACAAAGGCGAAGAAAAAGTGTTTAATTCTGCTATCATTTTCAAACCATTTTATTTCCTTTATAAACGAAAGTGAAAAGGTACACACAGCTTTACCTCACCTGGCAACATGGGTAAGGAAGAGATGGGAGTAATGTTAGACTACTCAATTACACCAGTCCCCTGGCATCATGGTAAATAGTAATATGCAAGAAATGTGAGTTTAGATGCAACCAAATGAGAATACTAACCGGACCAGTAATAGCTGGGTTCTGCAGCCTTGGGTCTTCCCATTGAGTAATTTTGCTATCTGAAAATATTAACAACAACAAAAAAAAGGTTAGCACATCAGTTCAAATCTACTCTATGCAAAGAATGTCTTACAAAAAACTATTTCTGGATTCTTCAAAAGTTGTCCAGTCTCCCACCCTGTCCCTCAAAGATAACAACTTAGTATTTCAGAGTTAGAAGATAACTGCATGGCAAACTCCACAAACCGTTTAGTTAAAAAAACTCAATTGAAAATGCACAACTAAAGTCAAACCATCTATTCACACTGTTTTTGGCACGCAGTCGGCCAAACTTTCAATTATAAACTCCTCTTCTTTCAAGGGTTTATAACTTGATTGTGATTTTCATTTAATAGAAAAAGACATAAAAAGTCTTAGTTCCCCCAAAGGCTAAACAAACACACACATGATTTTTTTTCTCATTTCAAATACTTTATTTGCTTATGGTGTTGAAAAACTGTTTTCAATTAAGAATCCTACACTGAACAAATGAATAATCCATTACATGCGTCACTCATACGCACACAAAACTCAGAGCAGCTAAGGCAGTCCAAAAATGAGAATTACATACAGCAGAGGAAGATTCCAGAGAACAGTTACCATTTTGGCCAAGTTGGCAAGAGGTGGTTTTCTTTCTTGCAAATGAGTGAGTGTGAACAAGATTGTTCAAAGCTACCTAAACCAGCACTTGTACAAGTGGTAATACATAGTTGCCCTGGATCACCTGGGATTTGTAACTGTTCATAAGTCAAAAGACTTTATGGATTCCTGTGTGTCTGTGTGTTGGGAGGGGGGATGGATTCACATAAAAGGTATGGGGAGAGCAGACTGGGGGAGAATGGGTTCTCTGGGGTTTTAGAAAATCTAAGTTGATTTAAAAAAAAGAAATTATTTGTTTGAAAAGCAAAGAATATTGATTCTACTTTTCTCCTGTATACTCTGTAAGTAGGCTGATAAGAATAACTAACAAATTCAGTTTTACTGACCATATCAGAATTTCTATAAGTCTGATATTATTTTAATGAAAGCAGAGTTGGAAAAAAAAAAAAATTGAAAAAGCTACCAAAGCACATGACAACTCTATGACCCTTATTTTGTTTTCATGCTGGCAGAAAGTTTAGATGAAAAGTCTCAACTGTTTTAGAGAATCTTGACGGAAGCAAAAGGCATTTTTGGGTCCCTTACCTTGAAAACAGAAGACTTTGGAAAGTAAAAGTTGCTATTGTGATGGAAAACAAAAGAAAAAAAACCAAATAAAGGAAACAATTCAGCTCAATAAAAACTGTTCCTAAAATACCAACTTGGACTATAAATAAATGAACTACTTCCAGTTCATGAGAACTCCCAAATCTTCAGACCTGACCTGAATTCTAAGCTCCGTCCTTGACGTGCACCTGGGTTTCCCGCAGGTACCTCAGCTCAACTCTTACGGAAACCCAACCCATAATCACCCAACACAAAAAAACTCTTCACATGACCCTGAATTCCTGATTTGCAGTATCATGATCCTTTCACTGTCCAAATCAGGAACCTGGTCACGTCCTTGCCACTCACCTCTGGAGGTCACGGAACCATCCCCATCTCTCTCCCTGATAAGGTTTCTTGTCCAAGCTCTCATCCTTTCTTGGACTATTCTCTAGGCTTCCCTGGCCATGGTCTCACTCTCTCCTGTTCAAGACTTCCTCTATACCTCTGCCAAAAGGATCTTTCAATTTTGAGCACTGTCACTACCCTCTAGAAAATCCCTTGGGAGCTCCCCACCACCTGCAGAATGAACCTGAGTCGACACCCTTTGACTTGGCCTGTGTGCATGTCAGCCTCCTCTGCCAGCAGCTATTTGGAACAACTCTGCTTTCTCCCAACATGGCATAATTTGCATGTACCCACGCACCTACAGGTCTCCCCCTCCTAGGATCACTCTTCACTGTGCTTGCCTGGCTCAATCTGACTTAAAAGTGTTTGAAATCCAGTTGAAAGGCAACCCATTCCAAGGCCCTCCTGCAGACTCCTCCCGCTAGGATCACTCTTCACTGTGCTTGCCTGGCTCAATCTGACTTAAAAGTGTTTGAAATCCAGCTGAAAGGCAACCCATTCCAAGGCCCTCCTGCAGACTACTCCCAGCCCCTGCACCCAACCACTTCCCATGCAGGCACAGTCCTTGTCCCTTCTGCATCTACATAACGATTGGTCCACTCCTCTAATGCAACACCTAAGTACGGCCTGGTACTCCCTGCTGGACGTCAGCCCTGTGAGGTCAGGAACTGTGCTCGTTCCCATCTCTGCAACCCCTATCCACCACTTAACAAAAGCCCCAACATGTAACAGGAGCTCCATATGTTCTCTCCCACCGAATGAAGCTGATGGTGAAAACAAAGCCCCTTTAATACAACCTAAGCTTTCAGAACCACACAAGTTCTGTGTGGTTATAGTAAAGGTCAATTTGGCAGTTAAGTATTGTCAATATAGGAACGTATGGCAGCCAATTATCTTTTTATTTAAAAGCACTTTTGAGTCTAAGCTTGCTGTTCATTTTTGAGACATTATTTCAAATAAAAGAACAAGAAGGAAGTAGAAGGATAAGAAACTCAGTGAATTTAGCTACTACTAACAGGTTTGGTAAAACTACTGACAAGGAAGACCAAAACGAAATCACTGGAATTTTATCTTCTCTTCTAACTTTGTACATAAGATACCTGTGGCCAATTACTCAGCTGCCAGGCATATTTGGTTTTTTAAGAATGACATCATTCCTATCAGAGATTAAGAATGAGTTCAAGATCTTCACTTAACCTTTGACACCAGGCCTGGGACATAGGAGCTATTTGATAAAAATCAACCAATTGAATCAAGAAGTCTTAAGTAGAAGATTAGTATTGAGCAATCACTGCTTTTGAAATTAAATCTCTGCAATGGTTGAATATTGTTAATCTTGAAAATGTTTAACTTCTCAAGAAGAATTTATGAAGCAGAAAATAAGTAAACTAATTACTTAAAATATAAGCACATTCTTGCCTGTAATTTGATGTGTAGTCACATGTCCCAGCTATGCTGGAAGACAGGATGACTCTGCACAACTTACAGTATGATTTTTTTCATGGTAAAATGGCATATGTAGGCATGACCTGGTTTCTGTACTGCAGGTATTATGACAGCAAAATGAGAAGCTGAATTTTGCTGCAAAACTGTTCAGAAAGAGAGGCTTCATTCTGAAGATGTGAAAATTCCTAAGCGTTATCTACCAGGTAATTATACTCATTTTTGGACTGTACCTGTCAGCCTGATAAAGTCTCTAAAAAGATAGGTATTCTGAACTTTTCACAGATTGAATTTGGGTGGAAAGACAAATGATTTGAACTGTTTCATAGATGTGTACACCTTTATCGATTTTCCGTTGAGTAAACCTTGACAAATTATGGAGAACTGGCAGAAATATAGCATTAACAGCTAATCAGTTTCTGATAAACACAGACCTTTTTTTTCAATGGTTTTTGGTCACCTAATTAATGCTGTATCTGTTTAGGAGAACCTTTTAGTATGGTTGTGTAAAGAAAAAATAAACTTTAATCTCCAAGTAATCTGACCACAGATATCGTCAATATAGCTCAGCCCAACCTGGCTTCGTATGTGGTCTACGCCACACCACCTAACTCCCAGGCACGAAGAAGAGCTGCTCACGTGCTGTTGTTCTGGGCAAGAGGAATGAGGAATGTCTACGACGAGTCTGGTGTGAGTGGTGGGCTGGTCAGGACTGGGGAACAGCCCAAGCATCTGGCCAGCATCTACCCTCTTCCACCTCCAAGTAACAGGAGCAGGGACAGCCTGAGGCTGCAGGGCTGCTGCTGCCTCTCCAGGCAAGTTCTCTCCACCTTCTGTCCAAAGTCAGCAACTTCCTGAGACCCTTACCACTGACCCTCCACAAATTCCACTTCAAGTCACTAGGTCTATGCATGCCACTGGGGAAACAGTCCATGATTTTTATTACTTTTAATCACACTGGGATGGCCCTTGGCAATAGTGTTTTTGTGATTGTTGTTTTTGGCTCCTTTTAGTACAGTAAGAACATTCACAAAGTTCTTTTCAGGTTGACCAAAGCATCAGATCACCAGCCAGAACACTGTCACAGTGTTGTGTGAAATGTTACCAGTTAAGACCTTATTTTAATACAATGATCAGTATTATTTATACCTGCCTTTGAAAGCTGAAATTGTAATGCATAAAAAACTGGAAAGGAAACTTTTTTGGTGGAAATAAGGGGGGTGATTTTTCTCCCATTTTAGCAAATTCTCTTAAGAGTATAATTATAGGCATTACTAAAAAAAAAAAAATTTTAAAAAGCAGAATTATGTATAAATAGTATTTTTTTAAAGTAGGGTATACACATACATGTTAAAGCATTTATGGGAGCAAGTTTATGCTCACTGTAAAATTCTGGAACATAGGCAAATCAGTATTTTTTTTGATCAAAGACAAAAACTGAGCCCGATTTAAACCAAAGGGTAGTCTACTCCCCAAATACACCTAGGGCTTTCACTTCTGATATAATTCTAAGCTGGTGGGTCTTTTGCTTAATTCAGTTTATAACTACACTTTACACATCCCCGTGTGTAAGCTTCACTGAAAGTAAAGCTCTGCCTAGCAAGGCACTTGGTCCCCTAGTAACATCTGGAAGAGATACTACACCCATGCGATAGTGACAAGTCCTACATGTAAGAGGCTTCCTCGTGGCAAGTGGCTCACCAGTGTGCTTTTGCTTAGTTACAAAAACGTGAAGCTAGGGAAACCTGATGCAGACTTCCCGTTGATGAACAGAATGAAAACAACGACCAAAAGAATACCAAATGGCACGTTTTGAACTTTATATCTCTGTAAAACCTTCTTTTCAATATACTTTTTCAGAAATTTTAAAGAATATATAAATATGATCCCATGAAGAATAAGTCACTTCAAAAAAGAATGACAAAATAATTAAATATAAAAACCCACTGGCTAAAAGCAAACCTTTATTAGTTTAACTTTTAGTTGAAATGAGAGACCACACATTTGTCCATAGGTGCTGGGGCAAATGTCTACAGCAAATACACTACAATTTTAGGAAAAGAACTACACAAATATTAGTGTGGTGGGTGCAAGGAAACATGCCATGAATAGAAAATAAGGTCAGAGTGGGCATCTTGCCATAGGACCTTTGAAGGCACTGTTTTAAAAACTTATAAGCTGCTTCAGCACTGTTCGCGCATACATTTGTGACTTAATCATCAGTTCAGTTCTAATCTTATTTTCTATTACAAGACTGTATTTATTAAAAGCGCAAAAGTCAAGGGATCATCAACCAAAAAATTATTTTTTTTAATTAAAAAAAAAAAGTTAATAGGTCAGAAGATCAAATTGGGTGAAAGCTCGATGAGCTACTTTAAAGCACACTTGGGGTGAGCACACAGTACCGTCTGAGGGCACTGATTCTCTGGTATCATCCTCTCCACATAACACCTGGCTGCCTAGACAAAGAGGAAAACGACAAAGCCGTCACTATCGTATCTGAATGTCCTCCCCCTCCCTTTACCTGCAATACCTGTGTATGTGTCCACAACAGTTCCTACTTACTGTGATCAATATAAAACGTTCGGCCATCCAAGTGAATTCTTTCTTCCCAACCAGGCTAAGTATCCGGGGAAGGAAGAGAGAGAGAAAATAGACATTAGCTAGCAGTTCCAAAATCAAAGGCCAAATTTAAAAACTATAGGAGGCTTTCTTACTCTTCTCTCCTAGGATTACATTTTTTTACTGAGAATAAGCTAAGTATAAACATTTCATGTTAACTCTTGACTACTTCTGGCAACACGCTTTATCACATGTTCAAGTCTCACATGCATTCACTGTATGAAACAGTTCTACTGCAAAAGCTTCAAAATGAAACTTCAGCACACAGTTGAGTTTGAGGTTGAATAGCTCATTTAATTAAATAAATAATGAGCACTAAAGGAAGGGAGGTGGAGGATTAATATCAAAATGTTGCATGAAATTACTTTATTCATGTTATCAAGTGACTGAACAATTTAATACTGGTACACTCTGCTGTGAACTCTCACTATTCAGACTCAGGAATGAAACAGATTTAGATCCTTTTTCAACCTAAAGCTGGTCTGCCCTCATTATCTGAACTGTCCCTATTTGCTCTCTGAACCTCAGGAATCCAACAGATTCAGAGGACATGTTTTCTTTCACTTTCTAAACTCACACTCCATGTTCTTTCCATCTTAATCCAGGAACCAAAAGGATTTGGAGAGTGAGGAATATTTGCATAAACTAATGAATAAAGACTGAACCTTAACCTTTGGAGCTGCAAATTTTGCCATAATATACCATACACAAGGCAAATAAAAGTTCGTATACTTGAAAAATGATGAAAAAATTCCAATTTAAAAACAGAGTCCATACCCCCCAACTCCCAGGCCTTTTTTTCAGTTGAGGATGGGCTGTTGAGGAGGGTGCATGGTCAAGATTTCATTCAAAATCCAATTTGAAGTAAACAGTTCAACTCCCACTCAGGCCCCAAAAGAGAACAAACTAGTAAAAGATTAAATTTCTAAATAGTCACCAGCAAGGTGGAAAAAACTTAAGGTTAAATGACTTATAGAAACTTTTTGTGATTACTTTTGCTCCCACACTATTTTCATTATTTTTGTTCCTAAGGCTACAGCAGCAATATGGATGAAACTCAGTGGTTGTTAAGTTACAAAATAAGTGTGTTGTTTAAAAATTGTCACTTGTAGAGAAGGTCTCTTGCACATCCTAGTTACAAGGTCTACCTTCCTCTGGCGGCTAGCAATCCAGAAACCTCCTTCACAAACACTGGGGATCACAAACAACTCTCTTAAGAAACACTGAGAGGTGAGACCCAGGAGGCCTGCAGGAAGAGAAGGCCCACAGGGCCTCTCCATCAACACTGGGCAGGTGAACATTTTCAGACCACTTCATGTATCTCCAGTGTACTCACAGGAAGAGGGCCAAGGTCATTGGGGTTTAAAGATGCCTTTGACCGCATATGCACTGGAAATTTCAGCCGTGGATCTTCCTGCAAGAAAAATGTGAAAGGCAGTAGATGTTAAAAGGGAGTGTCCGTGTGTGGTCACTGACCTTTCCCTTCTCCAATCATGTGTTTCAAAGAAACCAGGTTGCTCTACCTGGAACACGGGAAGGATTCCCTCTTTCTGCTTTGTATGGGAAGCCTGGCTGACCATCTCTCAAGAAAGATTCTATTCTTCCTCCTTGGCTTGGTAAAAAGGAGTAAGAATATTTAAATAAAAGGTTAACCATGAAGCTGAGACCTTTAGATGGGTAAGAGGAAGACGGTCCCCAAAGTGACGTTACTATGGAAACTAGAAGGGAGGGTTCCAGTGACTACATGGCTCTCCTCCGCAACGGTTTGTAAATCTCCCTATGGATCCTGAGCTCCCGGGAAGGCAGCCATCCTAAGACATTAGGAACAGACTGTGTTTCCCATTGCACACTCCTCCCTCCTGAACTAAGCAGAGAATGGGAATCTGGTCTGCTGAGTTGTGTGGATATGTCGGAGCTAGTCCGCTTCGTCACATAAAGTCACATGCCCGACTGCAGAACTTTACTGAGATTCTTGACCAAGTTCTACAGATTAGGTTCTCATTTATGTCTTAATATCTAAGACTTAACAAAAAGTTTTTCTCAAGGGATATATTTCATAAGATATCGCAGGGAATCAGCAAAAGAGAAATATACACCCTGACATATTGGGTCACACTTTATGATTAACAGAAGAATAGAGACTATGGTCTCATAACATCCCTGGTGAGGAGGCTGAGCACATGGTCCCTGTTCCTTTAGATGAGGAATCTGAGTTTCAGACAGCACAAGAACTTGCCATAAGGTTATGACCCAGAGTCCAGGAGCTGCCTCTCACTCATACAGACCCAATTAAAATGCAATGTAGACCCAATTAAAATGCAGTGTAACTTAATCAATCCATACGACTCAAAAGATTAGAAAACAGATAATAAAACTCAGAACAACACACTGTCAACCAAATGAGCCTAAGATTAAAAAACAAACCTTTAAGACATTTGTTATCTTCATTCGATCAAATTGAAGCCTTTGCTGTTGTCAAATAATTAAAAGGTTTTCTGCTTCATCGTTTTTCCATCAACAGTATAAGCCATGGTATCACTGGATCATAACAAAGTGATACACTTTGGGAATTGGTAGGAATCAAGAAAGATCACAAAAAATAAAATCAGCTTTTGCTTTCTATTAGCTATAGTGAACTTTTTTTTTTTTTTTTTTTGTCTTTTTTCGTGTCCGGCAACGGATCGCAACCCTCAGTGTCGCGCCCGCACCTCGCGCCCGCACCTCACTCAGCCAGTGAGCGGGAACCGGTCTGTATGTGGGATCCGAACCCTCGGCAGCAGCGCTCCCAAGCGGCGCACTGTAGCAGTGAGCCACTGGGCCAGCCCTATAGTGAACTTTTAATTGAAGAAATAAATCATGTTAGCAGTTTGTGATGAATATTGACCCTGAACCTAATATATTTTTTTAAAGGCTCAGTAGAAACACAAAAATAAGTTTAGTATTGTGTAGTATATATTGGAACATACGCAGTGCAAACAAATACACTAAGCAGATTCAGAATTTAGAAGTTCCAAGAAGCTGGGAAACATTTATAATTGATTAACTAAGGACAGAGGAAAATTTAAATCACTGAACTACACAAAAGCTTCCCACTCAATGCTAATTCTGAGCTGGAACAGGTAATGCCACTACTACCAGGGGACCTGTGGGACCCCACACAGCCAATGACCATACCGGGTATAGAGAAAGCCTGGGACAGTAGTTACATGAAAGAGGGCAGGGCTTCTGGATGCCACATGCAAGGCCAGCTGTGCCTTGGAATCACACACAGTCTACTGTGAAAGACAATCAGCTCTTTTGGTAAAAAGGTGGTGATGTGAAGAAAAAAGAAGCAGCTGCTGAAATTAAAGTGCCAGGGGAGTGAAGCTTCAGTATAAAATAAACTGGAGTTTCACAGGTTTGCTAAAACAGCCTGGCATGGGAACCCAGACTTTGTAGAATGTGAGGGCCAGAGGCCCTGAGGGACCATTCTATTTTATTATACCAACAATAATCAGAGTAATGGCAGCAGCTGCCATTGATCATGCTCTGAGGGACAAGTTTAGTGGTCACCATTGAAGTCCTTGAGCCACCTGAGGAGGTAGGCATCTCCATGTGACAGAGCAGGGAAGTAGAAGCCAGAGCCCTGTACTCATATGAGTCACAGACAACTTGAGGGATAACAACAAGGTGAACACCCCTGAGGTCTCAGCTGATACGAACATAATGAATCAAATGCATAAAACACACTTGTCTGTTTCTTTCCTTGGTGTTGTAAGGGGTGCTCTTTAATGAGTAATTGCTTCCTTCAATCCAGTCGAAAATGTTTTGAAACAGAATGCAAACTTTTTTAAAAAAAAGTTTCCTAATTTAAAAACAAAATATTGGAATACTGGCTGGTTCAAAAACAACTGGTCGAAAATGTTTTGAAACAGAATGCAAACTTTTTAAAAAAAAAGTTTCCTAATTTAAAAACAAAATATTGGAATACTGGCTGGTTCAAAAACAACTGTGCTTTTTCCATAATTCTTTCCAACCTAGAAGAGACCAGCAATCACACCTAGGATACAATGAGTTTCATTAGTTTGAATGTGGGTAGAAAATAAACTTGAAATTAACTAAAGTTTGATCTTTTTGCTGCAAAATAAGCCAACGCTTTCTCCTGTGAAAAGCAGAAATAGACTACAGGTTGTGCATACCTAATCTGAAAATCTGAAATGCTCAAAATCAATACTTTCTGAGCATCAACATGATGCTCAAAGGAAATGGTCATTGAAGCATTTCGGATTTTTGGATTAAGGATGCTCAACTGGCAAGTATTCTGCAAATATTCCAAAATCCAAATGAAAAAATCAGAAATCCAAAATGCTTCTGGGTCCCAAGCATTTGGGATAAAGGGTACTCAAGCCTGCAGTACACACATGCTTTGAGCTGCTCCCTTAGCAGGGGGAGTGGCAAGTGGAGGCCCCCAACAGGCGTTCACGGAAGGTCTGATCCAGGTGGGGACAGAGCCATCCTTTTTGTTTTTTTGACGTGGTCAGACTTTATTCCAAATAGACTGCTGGCATACTGCCTTCACTGTTTGTGTGCGTGAAAGGCTGTGTTTTATAAATATACTCCACATGGAATTTGACTCTGTCAATGTATATAGGGGAAATGTTGGCAGGAATCTTTTCATGCTTCTGGTTAGTGCAAGAATCAACATGCCCAGGTTAATGGGGCAAGGAGTACTATTTTCATTATTCTCAACCTGTCCTACCAGTTTTTCTTTCTCTTTTTTTATTATAATGCTCAAATCTAAGAATAGCTATGCTGTTTTCTTATTTGTTCTCTTTCAAAAACAAAGCAAGCCCACAAACCAAACTCAAAACAGATGTTAAGCTGAAAATGACTGTGAATGCTTTCCTTTGTCAACGTGGACAGGCAACTTAGAGTGCGCTTTTCACAGTGAGAATTTTACACTGGCCTTTGTTTAAAAGAGACAACATAGCTCTGTCAGCACATCTGAGTTCGGTTAAGAAGGGTAGGAACTTGTGGAATTTCCAGTTGTTACCTTAAGAATTTTCAATAGCAGCAGCAGCAAAATGTTGTTTTAACAAATTATAATTTCTACTAAGTAAATGAGTCAATAACAAGTATCTGGGTAAAAAGGGACAGCTGGAAACTAAAACAGGATTTCATTCAGCCACGATGCAGGCAATAAATAAAGCCAGTGCTATTTAAAATAAAATCTGCCCAGCTGCAATTACACTGCAGTTGTGGCGTGAAAGGCTGTGAAAAGGTTAGGGGATTTAATTACTAAGCTAGTTCAGATTACTAAAATCATAGCTTATGTTGGCAAGCCACAGTGGCTCCATACACTAATCCATCTACTTTTATAATATTTACCCCCTATTTCTGGAGCTCCAATTTCTGGCTGAGTATTTGAAATTACACCAATGCTATAGTAAATGGAACACTAGTAGGACAGTCACAGGTTCTATGCCAATGAGAAAAAAGACTTAAAAACCAATCTCTATCACTATAGTTTCCAAAGAGCTGCCTGTCTCTTAGGCTCATCTTGCCTGTAAACCTGTAATATTATCTTCAGACTAAAAGGTGAGTCAAACATACCCATGTGTCATTATATGCTTTAGAGGTAGTTATCAGTTTACCAAATGAATGCCACCAGATCTAAATGCTAAATTCTCTTGGCAGGCAATTGCTTTACTTCAAAACACGAATAGCTTTTAGAGTGGTTCTCACTAAGGGGTGTTTGGAAATGTGTAGGGGCATTTCTGGTTATCACTATGTGGGGGGTGGATAGTAAATGGTGGCAATTAACATTTAGTGGCAGGAACCAAGGATGTTAAACTTCCAGAGAAGGCACAATACTGCCCTAAATGCCACGAATGACCCCATGGAGACACCCTATGCCAAGATCCATAGGATTTTAGACAGAGAAGCCCTCTAGACCAATTCTCAAAGGACTGAATATTATACCATGGGCAAAGTGAAATGACAGTCCAGGTCACCTTGGTCAATTCTTTTCCTTAACATAATACTGCTGTTCTATCAACTGGACACACACAGTGTCCTTCACCAGAAATGGGAGTTTAAACTGTGAGTTCATTACTGATCCAAGACTGAAGAACTAGGGCCAGTGGACAATCACCAAAACTCAACTAGCTTTCAAGTAACATCAGTTCTAAACAAGCAGCACAGATGACGGAGAGACTAAGTTAATCTGAGTTAACTCAACTCAGACAAATAGATGGGGATACGAGAGACAGGAAGAAAAACAAACCTGCAGCAACAAAAATACACAGAAATAAGAGAAACAATTTCAATTTAATTATGGGTCTAGAGACTATATTGCAGAAAAATACCAATTGACTTTCAATATATACTATATTGAAATAGCCACCACTGATTAAGCTAAAAAAAAAAAATGAACTGAGAGAGGAACACAAAGATATGCATTCACTTCAATTTATCTCATTTTGCCTGAGTTAATAACAACACGCAGATTCTCTCGTGTTTATGATTCAGGAGCACATGAAAGAGCAGCATGGTAAGAAAAATCAATTTTGACAAAATGTCCATGAAGAACTGAGAGAGGAACACAAAGATATGCATTCACTTCAATTTATCTCATTTTGCCTGAGTTAATAACAACACGCAGATTCTCTCGTGTGTATGATTCAGGAGCACATGAAAGAGCAGCATGGTAAGAAAAATCAATTTTGACAAAATGTCCACAATAAAGAGCTATGAGATTTACAACCAAAGTAATTCAGTGCATCTTCTAACACATGATTAAAGGAATGAAAATGTAGCTAAGAAACACGAAATACGAATCTGATGTGAATGGTAAAAACTAAAATGACAAATCAAATGAAGGTGGGTAATGTCAATAAAAAAGCAAAAGGAAACCGATGAAGAACAAATCATTTTTTAAAAGATTATAATTCCTAATAAAATTATGTCATGAGACGTGATGCAGTAACATCAAAATCCTAGATGACATAGAATGCCATCTTTTTTCCAAATATAGCTAATTGTCAGAACTAGAGTTTTCCAGAAGCACTACGAGAAAAGGCAGTCTAGGCTGTGCCAACACCAATGATAGCCTGTGTCCACACCACCCACTCCCAACAGCCCACACGTGCGGAGCCTCGCTGCAGGCTGGGGAGACCCTCTGCAGACATGTTTCAGAGTCCATGAACCATAAGTACTGTGAAGACAGAGTAAGGAAATAGAGGGATTAAAGCCAGATCTCCCAGTAAAAACGGAGCCAAATAAAAGCGGCAGCCTTACCCAGGTTGTAGTCTTTGTGTTATGGTCAATGAAGAAGGGCCGGCCGTTTGGAGCTATCCTCATTTCCCAGCCGGGTGGCAAGAAGCTCTGTGTGACTTTGTGTTGTGGTTTGGGGGAGTTGTAGGGTGATGGCTGTGGGGACTGTGGATTGGAAAGGGTGTCTTTCACAGCCCGACGGACAGGGGAGTCCTTGGCACCCTAAGGAATAACAATGAGCATTAGAACTCTTTATCATGTCCTATTTCAATGTGTCAAAATGTACCTGGGTGTCGTAGGAAGCTCCTCATGGGAGATGGACAAGGGGGAAACTCCTAAAAAACCTGTTTCTGTTATTCAGTCTAACTCCACATTTTCTTTCTGTTGGTTAAACACACAGCAATATTAAGTACCTATAACCACCATCCTTTTGGTAGCCACTCAGCACGTACCAAAGATACTGTTCCTTATCACGCATTGTGGACAGAGATTTTATATAGAGTGGAGGAAAATGTGCCCCTGCTCTTTATGAGCTCACAGTCTAACGAAGAATAGATTGGCAAGTGCTAGAGCACAAAAAGGAAAACCTACATCAATGGAGACAACCACCTGGAATGACACAGTTGTTACCCATAGCATTTACATACAGTACGGAAGAGATATCACCCATTTCCACTAAGCATCCTAACCCAGGCTGTGGGGGAACCCACAGCTGTCTCTAAGACACACAGTCAAGTTTAGGATTCAAATGTTTGCTCTTTGGCTTCTCTGACTCTTCGACATTTGTGATTTTAAGGGATGGCACTAAAACAATACAAACAGGAGAGAGAGAGCCAAGTTGATACCCAGCAATGACTGAGAGATGAAAATACGCATCACAAACACGTATGCCTGTACAATGAAAGACCCTGCAGTCAAAAGGAAAAAATAAAAAAACATGACTGAAGCAACAGCTATGCTTTACAACTCAATATAAGCATCAATATTTGAAAGTTATTATGCGATCCTAATGACGTAACAGGCAATAAGGAGCGAAACACAACAAGAATGGTGAAAGGTCTGAAAAGAATGCCCACGTCCAGCACAAGTCACCACGGCCTCAGCCAAATGAGAATGAGCGCTGGAGGGGGAAGGAGGGGAGTCCAGGAGCATGAACGGGGCGAGACAGAGAAGCGTGGAGTAAGGCCGCAAAGAACACCATTGCCACCAACACAACGACTGATCAGAGAGAGGAGGTGGCTGCAAAACGGAAGTCAGAGCTGAGAGAGAAGAGAGAATGAGGAGTCACAGCACAGCAGTGAGCCCAGTTAGGCGAGGCAGCCTTCTCACCTCCAGCGGGGCAGATAAAGTTACTGTTGGCGAACTGAGGCTACGGGGCCGGCGGATCTGAGGCTCGATTAGATGGTTGTTACTGTTGGTGGCTGATCCGGACGCACCATCTTCTGCAAGCTATTTTGGAGGCAAAAACAAGTTAGCTTCATACGAGGATCTCCCTGTGTGTGTGACTAGGAGTGTGAACCCAAACACTACCACAAACAGCAATAATGAGAGGTCTGGCCTATTTAAAGCGTGGAGGAAATAATTAAACATAATAATGGGGGAAAGGATGGGGAAACACATTCGAGGGAAATAAAAATGAATCACTAGCCCAGCGTAAAAACTAGCCTCAGAAAACAAGGGGGGACGGGGAAGAGGCTACACACTGCAATAGGTTCTTGCTTCGAAAATATCTCTCACGTCACATTTTAAAAATGTATCTAGGGATGGACTGATCTTAGGATCAATTTCTCCCTTAGGCCACGACTATACTTAAAAGTGATGCATGTTCATCGTGAGCAAACTTTTTTTCACGGGTCTTTCAGAACAATACATAAAACGTCAGGACAGGAGGTAGGCTGTATACATTTGGGCTTCTACCGCCTGCGATTTTAAGTCGTAGAGCGATCTTCATACCTGCATGATAGGTCGAGTCCAAGTGGTGGTTCGATTGTTATGATTGACATAGTATGTGCGTCCCTTAGCATCTTTCCTTTCTTCCCAGCCTGAAGGTAGGCCCGGCGTGGTATGTACATAGGCCACTGATGGCTGTTTGTGCAAGAAATCATTATTATTTAATAACTTGCATTTGTTTTCTGATCAGTTTAATAAAGTAACATACACCCGGATAATTACTTTTTCTAGACAAAGTAAATTAATTCTGCATGTACAGAAAACATCTCAGAGAGTGTCTAGAAGACAGCAATAGATTTCCAACAGCTTCAAATCTACTTTAAGATGAACCCCGCACAGCTGTGGGGTCCAAATTCTCACAGAACGTGGTTCTAAGACCATGTCGTCTTACATATAAAGAGCAGGTGCTCAGTGGCTAGCAGAGACCAGGGGGTGGGGGGAAGTGAAAGGAGGGAGAACAGGAGAGGGTGGCCAACGGGCACGAAAATACACTGAGACAAGAAGAATCAGCTCTGATGTTCTACTGCACAGCAGGGTGACTGTGGTTAGCAGCTAAGTTTTGTATATTACATAAAGCTAGAGGAGAGGTTTTTGAATATTTTCACCACAAAGAAATGATAAATGCATGACATGATTGATACTTTACCCTGACCTGATTATTATACAACATATATATGTATCAAAACATCAGACTGTGCTGCATAAGTGCTCACCATTACGGTGTCAAAAAAAATTTTTTTTAAGGGTCCTTGCTAAAGTGATCATAGGAAAAGAAAAAAAATATTATAATCTGTTCTAGTTACTACACTTTACTGCCAAGCTATGTAGAGCTTAAAGGCATTTCAAATTGCCCAATGTTACTGTCTATGTGAGGGATGCTCTGAATATTTTTTCCTCAACATATTTGCTCTGGGAATGTTCTTCTAACTTAGTCCTACATTCGTCCATCAGCTTAGGATCCTTATGCTAGAGCTTTCAGGGCAAAATTTAAAGACCCAACAAAGAGCCCCTTCTCTAGAATGCTTGCACTCACACAGTGGTAATATAATCCTGAGGAATACCCAGGACATCTGTGTGCCTCATCTCTGGATGTCCCCTGGCAACCTGAGGTAAGAATTCCCAAGAAGCCTCATATCCTAGACTGTGTTTACCTCAGTTTGCTGATATGGAGCGTGTCTCCTTAAAGGGAAAATGAAGCACAGGCAGTTTCTGGGTTTACAGACATGTCCAATGTAGAGTGACTATATTTGCATGGTCCAAATTTGATCCCAAAAGGATTCCTGAGACACTTTTGCTTATGAGAAACAGTCTGCGAAATTTAGTCTGGATGGAGAAATTTTGGAATGGCAAGGCTGTGTCAAGGACAGCTAGAAGCAACGGAATGCAAGCTGGAGGTCAGTGCTGTCCCAGGAGTCCTGGATGTGGGGATGCAGCACGTAAGGTCTGCACCCAGGAAAGAGGGCTCTAAGCGGGGGAGAGGCTCAGAAGCAAGATACCAAACACAGGTAGCAAGGCTCCTGGCAGAGTGTGAAAGAAATGAGAGCCCAGGCATTAGGAACCACCTCTTATGTGACGCTACAAAGGGAAGTTGCTGCTTTTTTGGGTGTTCCTTTCCCTAATGAGGATCTTCTCCCAACCCTCCAGGTATTTTAGCAAGTGTCGTTTTCTTGATAGTAGGCTGAGGACATCAATCTTCTTATAACCCAATTTCTTCCTGTCCTTATCCCATCTTTTCTGTTCACTACCAACATGTGCCTTGGTGAAGAAGGTCATAGTCAAAGAGCCCCCAACAGATCCCAGGGCCATGTATTAGAGAAAGCATGATCAAGGACGTTGTAGGTAATTTGGGGACTCCATCTAAAGAGCTCAATATTCTATTATGCTTAACAGCACAATCCAGAGAAAAATTAACTTCAAATTAATCACGCAGTAGCTGATTCAGTGGTTATTTCTATATAATGTTTGCCAGACAAGGCAAGATTATGTGTAAAAAAACCTTCTTCTAAACAAACAGAAACCATTTCCTTGACATTTTTCCATATAGAGTCCAAAAGGCTCTGTGAAGATAATTCCATGTCTGTGACCACACAGCACGCTGGATCCAGGTGTGGAGATTTAGCAGCTACGGAAATATAAACAACACATGGACTTAATCTTTTCATGAATATTAGAGACAGAGAAATTACTCCACAGCCTGAATAAGCTCTTCCTCCCTTCTTCTCCAACTGTGACACCAACACGAAAGAGCTATCTCCAGGCTACTTTTATCTGGGCCCTCTAAAAATATTCTCGGCTAAACTAAGTAATCCAAGTTGTAAACTCAGTGACCAATTTGTCTTTTGGGCAAAGTATGTGCTATCAGGTTTTAGCCTACTATTGTTAATGTGACAAAAATACCTTGGCTAAATGGAATATTAAGTGGAATTTGTGATTTTTCCCCCTCCCTGGTGAGTTATATTTTTGAGAGAGGCAATCAGACATGTCCTCAGAAGTCAGTTCTGGAAACCTATAGTACATTTTTACAGTTACTGCATTCCTGGAAAGGTGACTGATTAACTAAAATCGCTTGGATGTGTCATAGATAATCTCAGAATTGAATTCTAAAGCTGTATAGATTCCAGAAATCAGGTTACTTTCACAGATCCACAGTTAACAGGACTAATCAGTTCATGGAAAATTAGGAATATAATAGAGAACACTGAATTTGATTAAAATGTTCATTCTCCCTTCTATTGAGAACTGGGCTGACAACCTGTAATTTAGTTACATTTATGTGAGATGGTGTTTATAAAATGCTTCTTTACAGCATTATCTCCAAATGACCACGTAGAACCAGTGCTGATGATTCCATTTGTGACTCAAAACCCTGCCTCCCACCATACAGGGCTAGTGAAGGCAAGGACTCAGCTTCCAGAGACAGACTGTGGAAGAGGCCCAGCCTTGAGCCAAATCAGGCGCACATGCATGTGTGTGCGTGTGTGTACGTTCCTGCTATCTCAGAAACAGGTTAACAACTGCCAGTGAGCTGAATTTAACATTTACAGCTTTTCATCTGTAGATTGACAACATCACTGTTTCACAATGCCAAACGGCCACTGACTAGAGCTTCATTCCGTTTCTTTCATTAAAATGAAGAACTTGACTGTGTTTACACTGCAAGCTTCCATATTCTTTTAAAAATAACCATCACAGATTCTCCAAGACTCGCTCAAACCCTGGAACCTCAGTATATTTTTAGAATATACACAGCAAAAATCAAAAGGACTGTGCTATATCCGTCCTTTTATCTCACAGAAAGGGTCTGCTGTTAATCTAAGGATTGTGTGTGGCTTCTCAGGTGAGAATCAGGGCCTGTTCATTAATACCATAGGAATAAAAGCACTAACAGACACACAGGGATGGTTACTACAACACAGTGCACAGAGCCAAAATGCAAGGGAAGCTGAATGTCTTTCAAAGTAGGAAAATTATATCAATTGTGGTGCATTCACATCACTGGATATTATGTAATTATTAATATGTCTCAGAAGGAGAATGACCATAAGTTGGGGGGGGGGATCAAGTTGCTGAGTAATATGTACATAAAATGTCATTTTTCTATAATAAAACAGCACAATGTGTGTGCATGTGTATACACACATATGTTTGTAAGAGCACAGAGGGAGGAGTGAGATGACACAGCCCATGGAAGCTCCGCCCTGGGGCAACACACTTCAGTCGGGGGATGTGGAGAGGGTAAGGAAATAAGGTGCCAAAGTGGGGAAAACCATGTTAGGAGACAGACTTGGAGAAGAGAAAGTCAAGAGCACTCGTGAGAAAGGACGTGGAAGAGAAACAGATGTGATGCTTTCAAAACTGTCTAGGTACACAAAACATAAAGCATGAGAGTAGTTGAGACATTTAGGAACTACAATTGCCAAGTCTTTAAAAATCAAAATCCAACCCAAACCCATATTTTAACTTATTGATGGCGAGGGGAGAGTACAGGCAAGAAGACAAGAAAAAGACAGTCTTAAGAGCCACATGGGATCTTTCAGATGTATCACTGTGCTGCCAGGTGACTCTTACCATGGAGTCTGGTACTATAAAAATTCAGTTTATTGTGGTATTTACTAAGTCAGTTATCACAATACACTCCAATGCTAAAATCAGGTTCCTAGGCCATAAAATGCAAAAATAAGTGATACATAGAAGATGCTCATCAGCAGTGAATTCTACTAAAATTTATTCATGAAATGATCTTGTCTACCTTGCAACTCTAATACTCCCACAGAAATTATCAGTGCTAATTCATTTAGAACTCTTTGAATGCTACTGGAGGCTGAGCCTGGTTCACCCAACACGAAACCACTGCAGCTCAATACCTTAAACTGAGCTGATCATTACTGATTGCCAATTTGATTTTCCTCTGTACAATGCTGAACATTAAATTCTAACAATATAACTAAATTGTTCCTTTGAATCATCAACATCCTTCAGAAAATCAGCAACTGTGTATGTAAAGTTATTCACAAGTAATAAGCAGTAACAGCAACCATAACAAAGGAGAGACAATAAGGAAAATTCTTCAAATAGCTATGGCAGCTCAAAGCATGAACTATAAGCTAGCCTGACTTTAGGGATCAAGTAGAAAAGAGGAAATTAAAATACATGGAAAAATCTAAGTTACCCACAAACATGAAAACTATACATTATGCAAAATAATGAATAATAAGAATAATAGACACTTGGCTTAGATCACCACCAATCTTTCTAGGCCATTTAAATATTTTCATTATGATCCCAACGCCAGAATTACATGAACACACTTGTTCTTTCCTGTGAGTAGAGTCTCTGGTGGCAGAGAAAGGTCACTGGTTATTGCTGAAGTCACAGAAAGTGTGACCCCAAGTTAACAATGTGGAATGGGAGACACACAGCAGAGGCCAGCCACTGCACAACCACGAATCACACGTACAATCTCATGCGATTCCTATGGCTTCTCTGGTAATCTTCCAACTAAATTATTTCAGCCAAGCACTCCAACAAAAAGGAAAAGCTTATCTAGAGTACAAACACTAAAAGGCAAAAATAAATTCTAAACGGTCAACTTAACCGAAGCTTAACCAAACTTAGCCAAAGCTTGATAGTACTCTTAATAAAATCACACAGGACTAAAAAAATCATTCTATTTTACCCAGTACCTTTGAACAATCAGAAAACGGGAAGTTTAAAATAAGAAATATGTGCAGATCTGTAGCACAAAGAAGCTGATCTTACTAAACAAAAAAAAGAGGGCATTCACCATTATACAAAATATTAAAACCACCCATAGACTTTTGCCATTAATGTCTGATAAAGTGCATCATTACCGTTGGCTCCTCACCACCTGTGACAGTTGACGAACGTGCTCTCCTAGTAGGGGCACTGGGCTGTTAAAGGATAATTTACATCAGTGAAAAATGCACTTAGGGCAATGACCACTGCTCACTGAATCAGCAATCACTGCTGTAGCAGCGCAGTAAGGCAGGTGATATGAGAGCAGAATCCTTGGAATCCACCCTCTCCAAGCAAAGCCCAGCAGTCACTGATGACCAGCAGCAAGAGAGAAGCAGGGACCCCCAGGCCACCCAGAAAGGTTCAGGCTGCACCCTGGACCTGTGTGAACAATGACAACCTTGAAAAAGTGAGATGTCTTGTTCAAGAAAAACGGAAAGCAGCCTGGTTTTGTCCCCACTGTCAAATAATCAGCAGATTCTTACACCTGCCAAACTCAAAACTCAAGTAAGAGGCCACTGGTGAGCAGTGAGTTCACAGCATTACAGAATATAAGAAAGAGGGAGAAACTCCCAGTTTCCAGGCAAGTGAGCTCTCCAGCAAATAAAATTGACACTGATTTTGAAAAGGAGAGAAAGTGCCATTAACTCATCAAAGAAAAATCACAGAATCATTAGGTTGAGAAGGATCCCATCAATCCATCATAGCTGATTGTTCTGTTTTGGGCAAGCCTGTACTGAAATCACTCCAGAAAGGATGCTCTTGTGAAGCTTATTATTAACTAGTGTATTCCGTGCAAGTCACAACTAAACCTATTATCCTGACTGCTTACTAAACTAGTATACTCATTAAATCATTTTTTAAACCTAAAAAACTAAAATCTAGGCAAAAACATCCTTTGAAGCCAAGCAAAAAAGTACATGATAGGGAGGACACTGTGATTTTGAAAACCTTAAATGCACTTTTTTTTCTCTTCACATTCATATACAATGAAGCATTAGTCATAAAAATGAACAAGGATTTGTAGCAATAAAAAAAGTGTTCATGGTCAAATATCAAACTGAAAATGTTAAACCACATAATACTTTCACCTTCAAAAGAAGTAAAATTTTTGTAAAATTTCTTATTTTTAAGTGTACACCAAACATTTCCCAAGGCAGTTCTGGTCTGCCTTCCAATTTGAACATGTATTTTTGCATATCTGAACCCCTGAAAGAAGTAAAATTTTTGTAAAATTTCTTATTTTTAAGTGTACACCAAACATCTCCCAAGGCAGTTCTGGTCTGCCTTCCAATTTGAACATGTATTTTTGCATATCTGAACCCCTGATGTTGGTACTGTAACACTGCACTCTATCCAACCAAGCTAACTGGCTAGCCCAACCTTCTATGCTTCTATATCTGCTAATAGTTATTAACGTTGTAGGAGAGTGAGAACGAATTACAGCCAATTCTTCAGTCAGCACAGCTGCCTTTAAAGAGAGGGTACAGAGGCTTTATGGAGTAAAGAATTTAGGCCATTGCTCATGGAAAGGTGCACTGGCTTCCCACCCAGAAGAGTTCTTCCTGTTTTAAGAGAGTCAATGTGTTTTCATAGCTATAATGACGGCATGAAGTAAAAGAAATTACTAATGTACCAAGTAGTTTAAGAGAAGCAAGCCCACCAGAATTGATATAAATTTGGGTGAAAAACTATAGCAATGAGGTTTTCAGCATTTTAGAGACTTTGGTGGCAATAACAATTCTTTGTACTGGAAATCCACTCTCCTTGCACAATTTGCAAGGTAATTTTAAAACGTCTCATTTCTTTCTTTTTTTTTTTTTGTCCTTTTTGTGACCGGCTGCACCGCGCTCAGCCAATGAGCGCACCGGCCATCCCTATATAGGATCCGAACCCGTGGCGGGAGCGCTGCTGCGCTCCCAGCACCGCACTCTCCTGAGTGCGCCACGGGCTTGGCCCAAAATGTCTCATTTCTATGGTAAATGGATTTGCACAGGAAAAACTCTTTGTCAGCAGCCCGGATGATTTCAAATAAAAGCCAAAAAAAACAAGTGGTGACTGGAATTTGGCATGGGTTACCGGTGGTAGATGGGCCTGCTCCGCAACCGTGTCGGTGACACTGCACGATCTCAACCGCGAGGAGGGTTCTCTCTGCTAAAGGGGAGGAAGAAACAAGAGGAGTATGAAACGTGTTTTTAGAAACAAGTTTCGGTACTTTACAAAAGATTTCAGTCAATCCTATTCAATACTCTTTGATATTAAGAGGCAATTAAATGAAACACCTATCCTTTAAGGAGTCAAGCTATCCTCCATTTTAGTTTCCAGTATCTTAAGCAGACTGGGATTTTAACTGGTCCTTAGAAATAATGCCAAGAATAAGAGAAGCAGACCCGAACTTTTGGAAAGGAGACTCAATAGGACCCTGCAACATTCTAGTGCTGCTCTAAAAACAGAAGAAAGAAGTAAGCAGTCTTGTATTCTGCTTTGGGATGCAGCCTCTGGGTAAATTCTAATATGGTGTGAATAGAGGAAAAGAGAGAAAGAAATAGTGGTATGTGGCTACTCAACATTTACAGACTGTTATAATTGATAAAGAGTTGGATTCTATGTCCAGAAACAGAGATCGCAGATGCCAGGGGCCTCCTCATCAGATTCTTATCCACAGTACAAGTTTGTACCGCTTACTAATTTTAGTATCTTATAATATGAAAAATGGGATAAGGCCCAAGAATGACTCTGTGATGGAGATGGGAGATTATCCACATCTTCTCACACTGATTAGCCTGAGTCATTCTTTAGTAAAAGTTCATGCTCTTATCCTTGAATATAGAATGATTCTGATAAGCAAAACTGGAGAAGACTTCTGTATTTGACATTCTCATTTAATGGTTAACAATATCTGAAAATAATATAATATCACACTTGGGAGTTAAGGATATTTTATTTATCTAGAATAATTGAATGCAGGAGTTCCCATACAAATAACTAGAAGTGCTAACTTACTATTAATGCTGAAGGAAATTATTATTATTTTTGCACTTGGTTGACTAAAGGTATGTAATTGCTATGGTTTCTGTGGTACTTCCTTTCTTTTATAGGTTTTAAATACATGGCTTCATTGCTTATGTTGTTTCCACAGCAACAGAATTACCAATGCAAATATCCCATATATACAACCTCTTTTATGCTGTCAATTTTGTACTAAATTTACATCTCAGTGGTATTTCTCTTTTAAAATACATTCATAGAATTTTAATATGAAACCACGATAACTGAATAATCAAGGCAACTCATGTAATATGAACCCATGATGTCTTCCAGAATAAAAACACCATAATCAAAGGAGTAACAATTTTGTGAGTACTTAGTTGTTCTTATACTTTACGCAGTCCTATCACTTACATCTGATATGGTCATAATAATGACTATTTTTTCTAGGATGCCATTTTCAGTGGAGTGAATACCATCATTTACTATAGTACATTTTAGGTTCAGTTTCCTGAGGAACACTGAGATCGCATTTGCTCTTAATTCTATGAACAAGCAAGAATTTTCTACGGGCTTTTTCTGCACAGTTTTGTACTGTCAAACATGGAGGTCTTCATGGCCAACTCTCTTGCTTCTCACTGGGGCTCAGCCCCATCTGAAGCTTCTAGAGAGTATTTCCCTGATGGCTGACAACCCAAGTTCAAATGCTACCTTGATGTCAGCGTCACAATTTCACGACTTTTCCCAAGGATTCATACTCTGGAACTTAGGAGACATCTTCTATCTCCCATTCATACCTTGTCTTGAGTGGGCAACCTAATCACGCCCTACCTGAGAAGTGAGAATGCAAAGCACACAGAGGGTGACTGCAGAGGATTGAGCAGAGGCCCAACAGCTCCTAATTCCCACTGTGAAATACCACCCTGTGATACAGGTACTGTTTTTATGAGCCTTTTGGTTGGGAAAGCAATTCTACAAGATTAAAGCTAATAATTACAGAAGTCATGGAATCCTATTCCTTTGAGTTTTTTATAATTGAGGAAAGAGGGTTGGTGAGCATAGCTGTCTTCCAAATAAAAAAAGATGCTCAGTTGCTCGGGCTAATTTTAGTGTAGTCCTGCTGCTTCTAGGGAAGGAAGAACTTTGGACAATGTCAGAGTTAACCGGGACCTGGAAGACCCTTGGTCTTTATTTGTATTCAAGATTCTCCTACAGCAACAAAAAAATAATAAATTATTATTCAGCTTTTCTTTCTTTCAAACAAGACCACTACTTACAATCAAAGAACTGAACTGTTCCCCGTTGGAGTCCGGAGTAATCTGAAGCCTTCTGTTCAGTTCCTCTGACAGCTCCTGAGGGCTGGTCCGAGACACGGGGGAGGCTGGTGGTGGAGGCAGAGCCAGACTGAGAGAGTCTCCAGTGAGATTCGCTTCTTCTGAAATGGTCTCCCAAGGCTATCAAGGAATGAGACATTGGGGTAAATGCTAGGAACTGCAGATCCTGTCAACTCTTCAACAAAAACACAGGATGACAATAACCATTATGACCGTAATTAACATCTACTGAACACTTATCATGAGGTGCACCATCTCCACAATAATCATGAGGAAGATGTGATTAGTACCACAATTAACAGAGGAAGAAACTGAGGCACAAACAGTAACTTGCCCAAGGTACCAGCTGATAAGTGGCGTGGCCATGATGTGAACCAAGGAAGCCTGGTTCCAGAGGCCATGCTTTTAACCACTTTATAATACCACCTTTCTAAGCAGTGCCTTATTTCCAGCTCTTGTTTCTACGTGCATTTTAAATGATTTTCATGGATTTTCTTTAATTGCTGAGGACTCACAATTGATGCTACATGCTGTAATTAAATACTAGTATAAAGTAACTTTTAGAGAATTTATTACGGTATCATTGATTTTGCTTTTCCAACTTTGGTCACTGAAACATCTTTTGAATGATCTTTCTAACTCAATATCTAAAAAGAATGGATTTCTAGTGAGCAAATGGAGTTGTTAAGACAGCATGGAAGATTATCACTAATTTGTTGTTTAATTCATAATTCTTTTCAGTAACATGATATTTAAAGGGAAATTATAGACATTTCTATTCACTCAAATTTGTATTTTCTTGGTAATAAATCTCTCTCAAGACGTCAAAACAACTCAGTAAGAACTTGCAGGTGATACCCAAACAAGTTACAGGGTTCATTCGATTGCTCAAATATTATAAGCGTGTTGTCATTTACTGAGTTGTGGTTAGGCCCTGGGCAAAAATAAATTACAAAGTTAAAAGGGCTTAATATTTTCACACTAAAAATAATGCCATTCCCTTTTGTAATGAAATATAGCAACATATATTTGTCAAATATGGCTTTTTAAGTAACTTCCTAATTAATATTTATGTTAATCATTTAGCTATGAGATCATAATTTTTACATCCTAGACAATGTTTACTGAGAGAGAAAAGTAGACATAAAATCAACCTGGAGACCATGTAAAGAATGAGCTGCAGAGTTAGGCAGCAAGCAGGGGACCTCGTACCTCAGGGACTTCTCCGCCTTCTGAGGGCTCAGGCTCCAAGTCCTCGCTGATGTGCCTGCGTGAGCGGAAGCGCCGGTGTGCTGCCTCCTGGTTGATCTGCCTGATGTTGTTGTCTGACTCGGAGGACACGTCCCTGGGAGCGCACAGGTGAGGGGGATGTGAGAAGAGGAGAGGCGGTATTGAGAACTGGCCCTGTGGCAAAAGCCCGACCCTCACCAAGGGCTGTACACCTGCTAAAAGGTCAGTGCCAAATGCTGACAATTAGCTGGTCATCAAATGTGAGAACTCTCCCACCATATCCTGGCTAATGTGTAGTTCAAGGTTCACTTCAATCAAATAAATGCAGTTTTTAAAATGTATCAGTCCTAATATTTTGAGCATTTTTTAGGCATATACTTAAAAATGTACATTAGTATTTAAGAAAGAAAAGAAACCGTGACAAGTCAGGCCTCTGGAAGGAAAGGTGACAGGCAAACCCATACGTATTGGTCAGTGAGTCGAGACACTCAGGGGGCGGCTGGGTTCTAGCAGTGACAAGGCGGATACTTTTTGTCACCAACAACTGACCAAAGAGTACAAACAGTACAGATTCAGAACTATGACCTGGAGGAAGTAAACCTGCCCCAAAGTGAATCTTTTCAGTTGCTTTCTAGCTCATTTTGACAGAATCTCAAAATCAAGACACTGCACTTTCCCCGCCTCAACCTGCTTTTAAAAATCCAAATAAACATCAGGAAACAACCCCTCAAACCACCTGGGATTTAAAGAACACTGCAGTGCCACCATACCCTATTTTTTATCACACAACACTCTCAATTCAGGATCTGAAAGCATTGATTCAATCCTGAAAACGTTTTTTGCAGTAAATTACAGGCAATCATCTTTTGGAAGAAATTTTTAGGGTAGAAGTTTAAATGCTAACATGTTTTTCAGAGAAAACTCTCACAGACACTTTCAGTAAGACACCACATTCAGTTAACAAAAACTATGATGCAAGTTAGTATCTTAAAATAATTGAAAACATTATTTCAGACTAATTGAAATAGTGGTAATCAAGAATGCTCATCATAGATTCTTTCTAAAACATAAGTTTTTAAAGTTTCTAATACATTCTCAAATTAACTTACACTATATCCCAATAAAGAGCCTGCCGGGCCCCTGCAGCAGTAGCGAATAGACTGCAACCAGCAAATAAATAGGTGACTCTTTAACACGAATTTCCAAAATAGTTTAAGTATTACCATCAAACATCTTTACACTACTAATTTTACTGGTAAAGGGGGAGTGTGATGATTAGCTTCCATTTAATCCATGTTTAATCGTAATTCCTTATTATTAAAATCTGAATTCATAAAGTTTTATAGTATTTGCACACCCAAAACAAACTTTTGCATTCTAACAGAAATATAAATCCTGTATATCTTATTGTTATATTCAGCTATAACTAGATAAAACAGCGCACTAAATAAACAGAAGTACCTTCAGAAAAACTAACATAATTATGGCCATACAAGAAACAATTAAAAATCATGGAAAACACAAGTATACTAATAAACCTTCTGAAACCACAAAAATAGAATGATTACAGAGGACGGCTCTGTTGGAAATGTTAGACACTGTAATAGTGTATTTGTGATTTTATGAGTCTAGGCCCAAACCTGGCCTAAACAGGTCACTAAACCATGTGCCTGGCATCACTTTCAGAAGTGGCTCATTTGTTATCATCCATCCATTTAAAATGCATTTTGCTGAGCTCCTACTTTGTGCCAGGCACGTGGGGTAGATCTGTGAATAAGAAAACAGTCCCAGCCCAAACAGGCTGTGATAGGGGAAGCACATGGCACTTGAGGACACCTGGATAAAAAAGGTGCAGTTCCCCAGAGGAAGAAATTCCGCTACAAACTGAGATCTGAAGTAGCCAGGGGAAGGGGCATGTTCTAGGTTTTTCGTTTTTCTTTTTGGGGGAAGGGATTCTACCACGTCCACAGGACCATGGAACAAGAGAAAGAAAGCAGAAAGCAGCTGGGCCATTGAATGAACTGTGTTTATGACTGTAGGTGGCAGGTCCTGCAGGAGACCAGGGTGAAGAAGCACTTCGTAAGAATACCCTGAGGGCACGGGGAAGTCCGTGACAAGACAAAACATCCCTGTTCTCAGCTGGCTGAAAACAAAACCCATTTTCAATGTTTGCAGCAAACTGGGCACGAATGAGCATCTCCAAGGTGGGCCCAACTCTTTGCTTAGCACATGGTAATCACTATCTGACTTCCTCAGATACAGCCTTTTAATCAAGATCCTTCTAACAGTATCAGTTTTCATCCGAAGGGGGCTGTGGCAGTTTGTGAAAACTGAATTACAAAAAAAAATGATTTTTGATTTAAAACAATTCTTAAAAATAATTCTGGGGGCCGGCCCGGTGTTGCACTGGAGAGTGCGCCGCTTGGGAGCGTGGCGGCGCTCCCGCCGAGGGTTCGGATCCCATGTGGAGACCGGTTCCGCTCACTGGCTGAGCGTGGTGCGGAAGCAACACCAAGGGTTGTGATCCTGTTGCCAGTCCCTGGTATGGGTGCGACACCGAGGGTTGCGATCCCGTTACCGGTCAGTAAAAAAGACAAAAAAAAGAAAAGGAAAGAAAAAAAATAATAATAATTCTGGGAAGTCTGAGGGCTTCTGGCCAAGCCAAATAAAGCTAAGGAGAAAGAACACTAAAGCCACAAAATGGTTCAGATGGGATGAAGAAGATGTGGAAACTGAGTTTTTCCTTATCTAATAATAATAATTCTGGGAAGTCTGAGGGCTTCTGGCCAAGCCAAATAAAGCTAAGGAGAAAAAACCCTAAAGCCACAAAATGGTTCAGATGGGATGAAGAAGATGTGGAAACTGAGTTTTTCCTTATCTAACTTTTCTCTCGCTTTCTACAAGGCACGCCCATCAGAAACGAGGCCCCCCTTGCGTGCCATCAGGTCCTGCTGGCGTCCTCCCTGGCTCAGCCTGTCCCTCTAGTGTTGTTGTGTCTCTGATGGGGACAGTCAGGCCTCTGACTTCCCCTGAAACCACATGTGAACCTGAACACAGATTAAGAACTGCATTTTCCCCTTCATGCTCTGGACTACTGGTGAGCCAGCATCATACAAAACTTACACCTTTTGTTTTGGTTCTTTGGAACACTACCACCAAAGATGGGTTTTTTTGGTATATGTTTTACATGTAACCAACTGTACATATTTAATGTGTACCAGCTGGATGAGCCTGGGGATAAGTATACACCTGTGAAACCACCACAGAGATGGTATGTTTCAAAAAACATGAAGTGTTTTCTCAGAAATTCCACTAGAGTTTCACAATTCTGTGAGGTCGAGAAAGCAGCATTCTCCCCATTTATCCCCCAAATACTTACTAAGGAAGGTGAACATTTTTCCATACGTGTATATTAGCTATTACTATTTCTTCCTTTGTGAGTTGCTATGGGTCACTTTTTTACAGAGGTCATATGATACTCTGATCACCACAGATTATTCTTTTCAGGTTCTCCTTTCTCATGCTGTTTAGCAAAGAGAGATGATGGTATTTTGCTTAGGACATAGTTACCAAGACTCTTCTGATCACTACAAGTAACCAAGCCCAAGGTGAATCCAAAGTCATTTTTACTATAAATGGCTACTAGCATAGCCAAATGGTTTATTATAGCTTTAATAGCTATGGTCATTAACCAAAAAGAAATAGTAAAAAATAAATAAGTAATAAATAAAAAGAATTAACTAAACCATTTCTATTTCTGTGGGAAAAAAATTTAACAAAGAATAGTTCAACATTACCCAGGTGTTCTATTTATGCTATCCTGAGAACAAGGAACTAATGTTTATGCTGGGCAGCCCAAAGCTGACCAAGAACAGCTGATATTCACAAGAACCCACTTGGGGGCTTAGCAAGGTTTGGCTACTCGTTGTTCCATTTTCTGTAAGCTTTCTCTCTAAATTAAACAAAACCTAGACCAGATGACTTGGCCACCTTCCCCACCCAGAGTCATGTGTAGAATATTGTTGCAATTTGTAAAGATAAAAGAGCTTTTAAGAAAACCATCCACCATCATACTGTTAATACCACTTGTTTATAAAGCATCATTAACAAGTTTCTTTCAGAGTTCTGGGTCTAGAAAAAATTATCACCCAAAATACTTGCTTTTATTACATATTGAAAATTACATAATTCATTTATAATTGCCCTCCTTGTTCTGGCTGCTAGGAAGTTCATCATTTCTAGGATAATATCTCCTTTTCCTGACTATTTTGTTTTTGCCCTTTATGTAGATCAATAGATTTAGGTCTTGCTGTTAATTATGATTTAACAACAAGCTGCCTCAAAACCATTTTTATTGTAGTTGAGGTTTAACTAGTGTTTGCTATCAAGCAAACCCAAAATTGCTGAGGAAATGAGACAGTAATCAGTGTGCTGCACCCCTGAGGCTGGTGAGGGATTAAAATAAATAATAGTTCCTAATTCTGATTTTGCAACCCTCTCATGTGTTTCTGATTGTATCAAGGGGATAGATAATACATAAGTTTAAAAAAAAAAAGTTTTTGAGAGGGTTTCCAAATCAAATAATAAAGAGAATAAAAATCCAAAAACTTAAAGAAAAAAGAATCACAAGCCAATCTGTCCACTGTTTTCCATTCTAGGGCGGTCAGGTAGGGAAGCTGAAGAGGAGGGAAAAAAATATAATCGCCAAACATAAGATAAATCTAGGAAAAACATTTCTTTGTATTTCAGGAATCTATATAAAGAAAACATACAAAATAAATCAGTTCATGGTGAAAATGGAGGCATGTGACACAAAGGCAGTGGCTTCCTCCTTGTCATGCACAAATGCTACCTGCTCGCATGCCCTTTACCTGAACGAAGAGGGGTCATGATGTACCACACGCCATCTGCTTTTTCCCACCCTTGTCCCAGAGAGTTTCCCTGTTTGCAGCTGACTGTGCCACGCAGGACTACGTGTCCCCGATATCACACAGTACTCACATTAAGCTCGGTCGATGCCACTGAGTGGTCCGGTTGTTGTGGTTGACATAGTAGGTACGGCCTAAGTTGTCCACTTTTTCTTCCCACCCAGGGGGCAGAGGAGGAGGAGGAAGCTCCTCCTGGTGCTGAGAAGCCGAGTCACTCGAGTCAACGACTTCCCACCCGTGCTGCAGAATGGAGGCAAATGGAAGATTGAGGTTGGGTCTGCAGATGTGAGCAAAAGGCAACCACGGTGTGTTATGTGTGCTTTTTCATTGCTCCATTGCACCACGGCTCTTGCAATGGCTTCGTGTGCCACATTTGAATGAATGCCCAAATAATGTCAAGAAATCAGTTCCAGAAGAGTATCAAAAATCTTTTCAGCAATGGCCAATTAACTGTATTGTTTTCTAAGATGACTATACTACAGATAGGGAGCAACACAGATTTGGACACTCACAGCCTGTTAAGTTACTCCCATCCCATTATATATATACTCTTTGCATATTTCACGTTTGTGATTTGGACTTGAAGGCCTCCAGGGCTGCACAAAGTGGTGCCAATGACCTGGGTCACCCTACAACAGTGATCTTTTCAACATCTTCGTAAGGTAAGAGGGAATGGGGAGGATGAACTAAGTGCTAAAAAAAAAAAAAAAAAAAAAAAAAAAAAAAAAAAAAAAAAAAAAAAAAAATCATGGCATAGTGACCAGGAGGCCCAGGAAGGGCAGCCCCAAGGCTGCTCTGAGAGGAAGGAAAGCCTCTGTTCTGTGTCTAGCACAAATGCAGGAGCCAGACACATCTGGAAGCTGCTGCTCTCTACTTAGGACACTCCACAGTCACTGCCTCCACATAAACAGGCTTCATGGTACCAGAGTGAAGAGTGACATTTTTGCAATGCATATTTTAGTCATTAAGTACTCCTGTCCTAACGTCCCTTGGTAAAGTCACTGGAAAATTAGGTAATTCATGGGTTACTTCAACTGGAAGGCAAGAAGACTGTAAAAAATTCCTTGGATTTGCGATAAAAACCTGATTTGCTTATAAAATCTTAACATTCATAAGTGTCTACCACCCACTCTCCTCTTCTGCACACACAGAGAGAAGAAAGCTCACAAACGAAATACTGCCTGGAAACATGACCTCTTGGTTGGAGGGGGTTTGGTTAACTTGCCCACAACACATTATTCACGTATCACATACATGCGACAGCTGCAAACAGATGTGAAAATAAGCCCCAAAAGGCCGTGCTTAAAGGACACATTCAAAATAGTATGAAGATTTGTCTAACAATACACCACTGTCTGAGATGTGTGCTGCAAAGGTATACAGGGACCCGCAGCCTTGATATGTGACCAGAAAAGGAGAAGGCAGCTGTGTGCCAAGAGGGCGAAAATGGCATTCCAAAATGGCATTTCTAGAGGAGCGTTTTTGTACTGCATGCCATCACCTGTGGGCCAAATGAACTTGGAAGAGATTTTCTAAAGCACTCTGTTCACTTTGAAGCAATTTCAAGTGCTAAAAGGAATTTACAAAGAGCTGAAAGTCCAAAGCAATGACAGAAATCTATCTGTGCATGGAGAACTCCCATAGCAGTGGGGCCAGCAACAGAATACGGACAGTGGGGCACTGTCTAAAGATGTCTCTTCAGTGATTAGCTGTAACATAAAATGAATGCTTCATCTTTTTACTGAAACAAATGCACTGATAGACTATCAGACAGATTCATGGGCGTAAGGTTTTTTTGTATTTAAGCCTCATAAACTTCGACTATAATGTCTCGAAGTGAAACATGAAACAGAAATAGGATCTTGGGCATGAAAGACAGAGCCAGCCCGAAGTGCCTCAGCTTACCTCCACATCCTCTCTCTGCTCGCTGTTCTCTTCATCTGGCCCTCCGTTTTTCGGCATATAGGCCATTTTCAACCGCAAAAATCCCTTCACTCGAGATTTGTGACTGCAGAATGGAAGAAAACTGGTTATAAAGGCTACGACCTGGTTACATCTTTTGTGTCTGTTGTGACTCTGACATCATCCTCTAAGGAGACTGGCAGGTGAAACCCAGGGGACGGGCACGCCCACCCAGAACCCCAAGCTCACCTTCGTGGTCTGAGGAGAAAGTCCTTAAACGTATAGGGTCGCTCCATGGTTGGGTCTTCAGTCTACAGGAAGGCAAAGTAAATTAATTTTCAGTACTCGTGATGATTTCATAGTTTAGATACAGCAAACTGGATTACCGACAACACATTTTCACAGTTCAGAACGTGGCACAGATGAGAGAGCAGTACCAGACAATTCCTCACCCAGTACCAGACAATTAATGAAAGTCTGACAGTCCATGGAATTTATCTACTCAAGGTCCACTAGATGTCACTATCCACATCGGGTTTTAGGAGCCAATCCTGGCCATGGACAAATGACAAAATTACAGCCATCATTGCCAAGTTTAATTTCTAACTGCAGGGTGCGGCCTCAATGTTGCAGAGCTGATTAACTCCAGAAAAGCAGTGGTCACTGGTGCCTTGTTAACCCTGTGACTCAAGAAACCAAAGAGCACAGTTAACAGGACACACAAGATCTCATCTATGATGGCAATTTTACTTTATTTTTCACATTAAAATATCATGTCATCGGCCTAAGATAATTGAAAGATCTCCTGCACAGATCGTCCTAGGAAGCACCAATCAGCTTCTGCTGGGGCTTATTACATGCGTATAACTGGGATATTTGTTCATTTTAAAAGAAATCAGTACTTATTTTACTGTGCAAAGTCCATTGGCCTAACAAAGCAGAAAATTGAAAAGATAAGTGCTTCTGTTTCACTAATTTTTAAACACTATGTGTAGTAAAACTTCAAATACCTAGACCTTCCAATTAAACACAATTTAAATATTTACTTTTGTAGAAAGAGAGAAACAACAGTATGATGATTTATTATGTCAGGCGTGTGTGTGTATATGCATTTATATTTGAAACATTTTCTGTTTATGTCATTCCCGGCTTTAAACTCCCGGTGGCTTCCTACTCTTCTTATAATAAAATGCAAATTCTTTCCTATGACCTACAAGGTCAACTATGATCTGGTTTTTAATTATCTTTAACCTCATTGTGAACCAGTAACTGTTTACTCCCTGTATTTCATCCATCCTGGCCTCATCAGTCATGTGTACAAAAATCATATCTACTCGTGCCGGAGGGCCCATGCATTGGCAGGTCCCTCTGCTGGACAGCTCAGGCTCCAGATGGCATGATTGTCTGCACTCTGCCATCTGGCCTCAGATCCCAGATCACATCCTCAGAGATCCCATCCTAAATCATCACCATCAGCCTACCCTATTACCCTATGTCATATTACCCTGCTTTATCTAACCCTTATCATTACCTGAAATTATCTCATTCATTTATTTACTTACTAGTTTATTATCATCCATCACTTCTAAAATGTAAGCCCAAGAGGTCAGAGGCTTGGATTTGTTCATCATTGTATTAGTGGTGCCAAGAACATTGCCTGGCACTAAGTAGGCACTCACGTAAGTAGCTGATTAATTCAAATTATAATAAATTACAGAGGCCCTGAAAATTCACTACCATTAAAAAAAGTAAATTATATTTTCTAGACCATTCTTGCTAAGGCAGTAAACAGACATTTTGGAAACAGTTTCTAAAAAAAAAAAAAAAATGTTTCCAAATATATATCACTTGTGATGGAAAATCTATTAATCGAGAACAGTATTGCTGGAATCCCTTCTTATTTTCATTTATTCAACCAATGAATAGTTTCAGAGCAATAGCATGTATAAGGCGTGGATGCAACACAGTATCAACCCTTCCAATTACAACTAGGTGAGAGGGGC